TTCTCTGCAGGACCAGTAACAATGTGTGAGGCTACCAATATCCACTCTACATTTCAAACACAATGGTGAGAGGCTTGTTTTGAATTTACTTCGCTGAGAAGGAGAAATGTGCGCACGGTGTAAAATTTTAAATTGTATGGCCTTAACCCGATTGCAAATACTTAGAGACTTTGCATTCTTCCAGGCCTCATCCCATCCCTCCTGATTTATTGTACACTGCAATTCCCTTTCCCAAACTTCTTTTAGGAGAAATGTATTTGGTAAAGGGTGCTCTTTCAGCAAGTTGTAAAAGGTTTTAATTGAAGTTTTTACCCTGGAGGAAAAAAGCTGTTTTTCACACACTGAGATTGTTTGGTCCACATCGAGTGTGGTTTTTTTCTGAATGAAATCTCTAATTTGTAAATAGCGAAAGAAATCCTGCCTCCCATCATATTTATCCAATAGTTGCGAGAAAGATAATAATGTGTTACCTTCCATCAAGTCAGAAAGCGTACAAATTCCTTTTATTGACCATGTTTTGAAGCCAGAGTCCATAACGCCTGGCAGAAACATCGGGTTATCACAAATAGGTGTAAGAGGTGATATAACTTGGAACCTGTCCTCAAGTTTTTGGACCATTTGCCATGCCCTCACAGTGTTAATAGTAATGGGGTTACTACAGTACGTCTTTATGGCATAGTTTTTTCCCAAAAAAAGTAAATTTTTTAAAGGGAACCTGGACATAGAGCTTTCTATATCGAGCCACAGAGAAGTAGGCTCCCCTGTCCAATCAGCAGCAGCACGCATGTGAGCGCTGATCTGATACCTTCGTATGTCTGGGAGAGCAAGGCCTCCACACTCGGCCGGGAGGCACAGTGTAGAAATTTTTAAGCGTGGTTTCCTTCCCGCCCATATAAAAGAACTTAGCCATCCGTTTAGAGCCTTAATTGTTTTACGGAGAAAAAGAACTGGAATCATTTGTATGGGATATAAAAGTCTGGGTAAGACATTCATTTTTAGAAGAGACACGCGGCCCAACCAGGAGAGAGGCAGCACTCTCCATCTTTCAAGGTCCAGCCGAATACGTTCAAATAAGGGGGTGAAATTGGCCCTATACATTTTGTCAAATGAGGGGGTAATTCTTATTCCCAGGTATGAAAATCCCTCTGGGGACCAAGTGAAAGGAAATGGAGCAGGTATAGATGGTTGATGTTTTAATGTGCCTAGTGGCATGACCTCTGATTTGTTAAAATTGATTTTATAGCCCGAAAAATCCCCAAACTTGTTAATGGTCTCTATGAGATGTGGGATAGAATCCTCAGGCTGAGATAGAAATATGAGCACGTCGTCAGCGTATAAAGTAATCTTGTGCTGCCTCTCCCCAATGGTCAGACCACATATCCCCTCATGGGTCCGCACCGCCTCCGCCAGAGGCTCCATAACCAGAGCAAAAAGCAGGGGCGATAGAGGGCAGCCCTGGCGTGTTCCCCTTTGCACCCGGAAATTTGGCGATCTTAAACCATTGGTAATAACAGCTGAGCAAGGCTCGCTGTAAAGTATTCTGATCCAATTAACAAAATCTTCCCCCAGGCCAAATTTTCTCATGGTGTAGAACAAATATGGCCACTCAACGCGATCAAATGCCTTTTCGGCATCTAGGGAAACAACTAGACCAGGCATTGCTCTTAGATTAAAGAGCTGGATCACGTTGAGCAACCTACGCATGTTATTGAAGGAGCTACGTCCCCTAATGAAGCCAGTTTGATCATCATTAATAAGTGTTGGGAGTAGGATCTCCAAACGTTTGGCTAATATTTTTGAAAGGATCTTTACATAAGTGCTTTTCTGTTTTAGTTAAATGAAAATATTTATATAAATACATCAAATCTAATAAAAAAAAAAAAAAAAAAAATCCACATTAGAGGCTGTTCTTTCCTCCATTTGGGTGAACTCACGATGCCACCTAGTGGACAAACATAAGACTGCACTTTGGTATAAATTCTCTTCAGCTGAATCCGTCCTGAGGCCAGATGCAAAAAACAAATGAAATGTCACATTTTCTACGGTAAAAAGATGTGTAACTTTTTCTTATTTTTTTAAGGTGCAAATTTGTTGAACCTGTTTGTAGAGGAATATAAACCTGAAATTGACAAGTAAGCCATAAATGGTTAACAGAATAGAAAAAAAAATAAAATAAAGAAAATAACATTAAAATAAAATCTAAATATAAAATAAAATAAAAAAAAAAGGATGAAAACTTCAAAAGATGATTCCCTGGTGATACCATCTTCATTGGATCATTGGGCTCTCACTGCTGTGTATGGAGTGAGTTTTGTTCAGTAATTGTTGCAAGAAAAAAAGAAACATATTCTGTAAATTGAAATAAAAAAAAAGCAAGAAATGAAACTTTTGAATTAAAAATGGGTTTCAAGAAAATCTTTGCTCGGCTGTAATACATGCAGTGGTTTGAAAAGCAGGAATCCCAGAGGCTTAGATAGTTTTCAAAAGCTTTTAATAAAATGCGAGCAGATTTTTTATAAGTGCTACAGATGAGTTTGGAAATAAGTGCTTTTCTGTTTTAGTTAAATGAAAATATTTAGATAAATACATCAAATCTAATTTTCAAAAAAAGAAACCACATTAGAGGCTGTTCTTTCCTCCATTTGGGTGAACTCACGATGCCACCTAGTGGACAAACATAAGACTGCACTTTGGTATAAATTCTCTTCAGCTGAATCTGTCCTGAGGCCAGATGCAAAAAAAAAAAAAAATTAAATGTCACATTTTGTTACGGTAAAAAGATGTTTAACTTTTTCTTTTTTTTTTTAAGTGCAAATTTGTTCAACCTGTTTGTAGAGGAATATAAACCTGATACTGACAAGTAAGCCATAAATGGTTAACAGAATAGATAAAAAAAATAAAGAGATTGTAAATAAAGAAAATAAAAACAAAATGAAATCTAAATATAAAATAAATGAAAAAAAGGATGAAAACGATAATTCAAAAGATGATTCCCTGTTGATACCATCTTCGTTGGATCATTGGTCTCTCACTGCTTCTGTATGGAGTGAGTTTTGTTCAATAATTGTTGCAAGAAAAAAAGAAACATATTCTGTAAATTTAAATAAAAAAAGCAAGAAATGAAACTTTTGAATTAAAAATGGGTTTCAAGAACATCTTTGCTCGGCTGTAATACATGCAGTGGTTTAAAAAGCGGGAATCACAGAGGCTTACATCGTTTTCAAAAGCTTTTAATAAAATGCGAGCAGATTTTTTATAAGTGCTACAGATGAGTTTGGACATAAGTGCTTTTCTGTTTTAGTTAAATGAAAATATTTAAATAAATACATCAGTTAATTTTCAAATAATAAAAAAATCCACATTAGAGGCTGTTCTTTCCTCCATTTGGGTGAACTCCCGATGCCACCTAGTGGACAAACATAAGACTGCACTTTGGTATAAATTCTCTTCAGCTGAATCTGTCCTGAGGCCAGATGCAAAAAAAACAACAACAAATGAAATGTCACATTTTCTACGGTAAAAAGATGTTTAACTTTTTCTTATTTTTTTAAGGTGCAAATTTCTTTAACCTGTTTGTAGAGGAATATAAACCTGATACTGACAAGAAGGCCATACATTTTTAACAGAATAGATAAAAAAAAGAAAATATAAATATAAAATAAATGAAAAAAAAAAAAGGATGAAAACTTCAAAAGATGATTCCCTGGTGATACCATCTTTGTTGGATCATTGGGCTCTCACTGCTGTGTATGGAGTGATTTTTGTTCAGTAGTTGTTGCAAGAAAAAAAGAAACATATTCTGTAAATTGAAATAAAAAATGATCAAAAGCAAGAAATTAAGCTTTTGAATTAAAAATGGGTTTCAAGAACATCTGTGCTCGGCTGTAATACATGCAGTGGTTTAAAAAGCAGGAATCACAGAGGCTTACATCGTTTTCAAAAGCTTTTAATAAAATGCGAGCAGATTTTTTATAAGTGCTACAGATGAGTTTGGACATACGTGCTTTCTGTTTTAGTTAAATGAAAATATTTAAATAAATACATCAAAACTAATTTTCAGAAGAAAAAAAAAATCCACATTAGAGGCTGTTCTTTCCTCCATTTGGGTGAACTCACGATGCCACCTAGTGGACAAACATAAGACTGCACTTTGGTATAAATTCTCTTCAGCTGAATCTGTCCTAAGGCCAGATGCAAAAAACAAATGAAATGTCACATTTTCTACGGTAAAAAGATGTTTAACTTTTTCTTATTTTTTTAAGGTGCAAATTTGTTGAACCTGTTTGTAGAGGAATATAAACCTGATACTGACAAGTAAGCCATAAATGGTTAACAGAATAGATTAAAACAATAAAATAAAGAAAATAAAAACATAAAATAAAATCTAAATATAAAATAAATGAAAAAAAAAGGATGAAAACTTCAAAAGATGATTCCCTGGTGATACCATCTTCATTGGATCATTGGGCTCTCACTGCTGTGTATGGAGTGAGTTTTGTTCAGTAATTGTTGCAAGAAAAAAGAAACATTCTGTAAATTGAAATAAAAAATAATCAAAAGCAAGAAATGAAACTTTTGAATTAAAAATGGGTTTCAAGAAAATCTTTGCTTGGCTGTAATACATGCAGTGGTTTAAAAAGCAGGAATCCCAGAGGCTTAGATAGTTTTCAAAAGCTTTTAATAAAATGCGAGCAGATTTTTTATAAGTGCTACAGATGAGTTTGGACATAAGTGCTTTTCTGTTTTAGTTAAATGAAAATATTTATATAAATACATCAAAACTAATAAAAAAAAAAAAAAGAAAATAATCCACATTAGAGGCTGTTCTTTCATCCATTTCGGTGAACTCACGATGCCACCTAGTGGACAAACATAAGACTGCACTTTGGTATAAATTCTCTTCAGCTGAATCTGTCCAGAGGCCAGATGCAAAAAATAAATAATTAAATGTCAAATTTTTTTACGGTAAAAAGATGTTTAACTTTTTCTTTTTTTTTTAAGTGCAAATTTGTTGAACCTGTTTGTAGAGGAATATAAACCTGAAACTGACAAGTAAGCCATAAATGGTTAACAGAATAGATAAAAAAAATAAAGAGATTGTAAATAAAGAAAATAAAAACAAAATGAAATCTAAATATAAAATAAATGAAAAAAAGGATGAAAACGATAATTCAAAAGATGATTCCCTGTTGATACTATCTTTATTGGATCATTGGTCTCTCACTGCTGTGTATGGAGTGAGTTTTGTTCAATAATTGTTGCAAGAAAAATAAAACATTTTTGTAAATTTAAATAAGAAATAATCAAAAACAAGAAATGAAACTTGAAGTAAAAATAGGTTTGGAGAAAAACATTGCTGTCCTCTTAGATTTTATTTCAAATGTTCTATAACATTTAAACTTTCTTTTTCAGATTTTTCAAATTGCATTATTCTCAAATAACTTTTTACAATTAACATTCTTTACTTCAAGCACAATGCAAACACTCTTGACACACAATTAATGCAATTTGTAAACATGAAAAGAGGAACATTTGAAAAATATATATATATATAAATCTGTAAAATAAAACATTTTTAAGAAAAAATCTGAAAAAAAAAATGAAAACAAAATCTGGGAAAAAACTCTTAAAAAAACAGTTTCTTTTTTCAGTTTGATTTCTGGATTCTATTTAATTGAATTTCTATTTTAAAACTGGTTTTCTGATTGCAACAATAATGGACCAACATTCACCCCATACCTCCTGTTGGGCACTCGGGAGCGACTGCTTTGCATTTCAGTGTTTTGGCGAAAACTACATTAAAGGTATACTGGAGGATTTTCGAGATTATTTTGAAAAGACCCGCCCTCTCTACTTAAAAAAAAAATAATAAAAAAATGCACATGCACAACCCTGTACCCGAACCTAAAAGGGAACCCCTATTAAACACGTGCGAGAGCCCATTTCTCCTCGTTCACGCTCTGTTTAGAAGTTGCTTTTTGCGTCGCTCATACAAGCTTTCTTTCCAAAAGAAAATTAGCAATATTTCCACTATATCAGACTCTCCACCGGTCAGTGAAGACGGGGACGAGCACGAAAGGACGGCCTTACGTAAACATCACCAGAATGATTGACAATAAGAAGTGTCACCCGGAAAATGCACATCCTGCACTAAACTTTTTGAGTGAAGAATAATGATCTCAGAATCATCTTTCCCTCAGAAAACTTCTGCTTCTCAAGCTTCTCTTGTTTCAGTGGTTTTTAATCTCAGATTAAAATTGAAAAGCCCCTCAAACAAACCGTTTATCAGACGATGCAGGCGGGATGCACCGCAGCCACTTTGATAAAACAACCATTTTCTTTTACATCTGCAGCGTCATCTGCTCCATTTAATCATATTTCTTCCTCACGTTTGGCACCTTATTGTTTTTATTTTAAGAACGAATTTTACTTTTTGCTATTTTCTCCTATTAGTAGGGCTGCAACAACGAATCGCTAAAAATCGACTTTTAAAAGCGTTGGCAACGAATTTCATCATCGATTAGTTGTGTCGCGCGATTAATGCGTCATCCGCCGCCGCCGTCATTACTGCTACTTGACTGAAACGGCGGAAGAAAAAAAAAATACGGCAGAGCGAGTCAGCGCTGCAGGTGCGCAGTGTTGCAAACTGTTGCGACTTTTCAGACCCCTTCAGTGACTATTTTTTTAAAAAAGCGACTAGTGACAAATCTGGCGACTTTTTACGGTGTCACTGGCGGCTTTTGGAGACTCTTACGTGAAAGCATGTATCATTCCTACTCTGCCGTGAGGCGCCTCCCCCATCCCAACCCCGTTCTCTCGCAGGAGTCCCTCTCAGCGCTGCAGTCAGAGCTGCAGGATGTTTCAGCTTCCAGACTGCAAATGAAGCACGCATGCGCCGGGATTGACGGCGCAAATTGATCACAATAATTAAAATAGCCTTTATAAATAAATGAACTTGCAAATTATGAGGGCAAGGCTTTTAAAGTTTAAATCTTCTGGCAAAGATAAAGTAAAGAAGATCCTGCAATTTATGGAAGTAAAGCAGAATAAAATCCAGCAAGATCAGTAATATGTCAATTAATTATCTGCCACATTCCCATGTAAATATCTGTCTTTGGAGGATGTGTTTTTTAGCACCCCTAGTTCTCTCATTTTTATTCCAAATACAATTTATAATTTGAATCACAGGGCTATTTTTATCTCTATGGTTCAGGATTTTCTCAAGTAGCAACTTTAACTGCTATACTTTCCTGTCTTAAAAGGCAGAACTCTTCTAGTCTAAAAAACCTCATTTGTTGAAATGGGGGGGGGGCTATTGTTTGAACCCCTTAGGGGCTTTTAAAAACAAAAATGTCTTTTTTTGCGCTTTATGAAACAAAGTAGCCTATATTTTGTGGATGTACAGCTACATTTCTCATGTAAGTTTGCGTAGTTTTAACACAAACATTTATTTTTCATATTGCACCAGGACAGTTAATGAGCAACCTGTACTTGTGTGCTTGTTAGTTCTGTCTAAAATGTTTATTTTGGAATAAAGAGGTTAATATAAAAAATAATTTTTGTCCGATTCATCGATTAATCGAAAAAATAATCGGCCGATTCATTGATTTTTAAAATAATCGTTAGTTGCAGCCCTACCTATTAGTGAAACAAAAGAAAAGCAAAATAAGTGAGAATGAGACTTTGCATCCTTTACAGGTTAACGTTTGAGGTGGGAATAAGGCCTTATTCATGCGTTTCCTGACTACTAATCATTTTCCCAGCATAGAGAAGCAACCATCCATCCATCCATCCATTCATCCTCATGAATGTTTTATGCATCTGGCCCCCGGTTGTTTCACACGGAGAGCAAAAAGCACATTGATTCCCTTATTCCGCTCTTAAATCACTCTGTGATTTATCTGCAAGGGATGTAAACAACAAACAGGTTAAACTCTGATAAATCGAATATTCATGAATAAAGAATAATTGTGCATTTAAAGCTTCTCTTAATAGCAAAAACAATGTAAACTCAAAGTGCGCGGAGCTTTGATAAAATGAAATAAGCTTCAGCTGAAACATCAAGCCTTGGATGTTCCTACCCCCCCCCCCCCCCACCACCAAACCACTGATGCTCAGTAGCATGAGGTGAAAAACAGCATTTCTCGAGGAGCGGCGCGTTAAAAGGCGGTGCTCTGGATCATCCCGTACGCCTCGTACAGTTTGCGGACGAGCTCTTCTTTCTCCTCTTCTGGAAGGAAGCAAGACTTTGCAGAGTTGATGTTCTGCAACAGAAAAAAGTTTCCATTCAGCAAAAAAACCTGAAACTCTGAACAAATCCACACTGGAAAAAATCTAAATCTAGATAAGTAATTTTTTCTCAAAATAAGTGCATTTGTTCTTGATTTGAGGCGATAAAAGAGACATTTTGACAATGGAATAAGAGAATTTAGATTTAAAATAAAACACAATTGCATTGTCTTATTTCAAGTGCATATTAGTTAATCTTATTTTAAGAGTAAAAATACTAATTCCATTTGCAAACTCATTTACCTACTCAAATTAATGGTAAATACACTTAATTAAATATATTTTTACTAGTGCTGTCAAAATTATCGCGTTATTATCGCGTTAACGCGAGGCCATTTTAACGGCGATAATTTTTTTAACGTGAGATTAACGCTATGTGGTTTTATGGTACAATTTTCCAAGTACATCCCGCTGCAGCCTGCGGGAAGGCGGGGCTATTTTCCCCCAGTCTATGCATTTCTCATAGGCTTCAAGAGCGGAGCTCCTCAAGGGAAAAAGACGCTCATACACTGGGTGACGCTAGTGCCTTTTCTTTAAGCCCCACCACCAACAAACAAGTTGAGTGTCTGGTAACTAGTAGCAACCTGAAATACGCTGAGAAAACAGACTACTTAGGTGAAATGGAATCTGCTACGGCACGCTTGCTGTCACAGGTCGGTATCGTGTGTGTGTGTGTGTGTGGGTGGGTGGGTGTGTCTGTGTGTGGGTGGGTGGGTGTGTGTTCTCATTTTTGTTAAGAGTCTGAAAAGTAACTTTCATAGACTACCTCCATCTAGTGATGTCCGTCTATTGATTTTGATGTATTGATTGAAAATTGTTCATTATTACCTTGGTTAATTAACATCTAATGTTAACTGTACTACATTTTATAGCAGTAGGGTAAAATGCTTGTCTTTGTTCAAAAGACTGTATTAACTGTAAAGACTGTCTTTTACATCAGCCTGTTTTCAGGGCCTTTTTTTTGGCTACATATTTGTTATTTTTTGCTACATGCCTCCCCATCTTCTTGCCATATGTTTCTATGGCATAAATCAGTATCTGTGACCTGTTCTCATTTAAAAAAAGAACATTGGCACAAACCTAGCCTGTATGTATTTTTAGTATGTCATCGAGAGTATTTAAATGATTTTCAATCAGAAAAAAAATTTGCGATTAAAATGCGATTAATCGCGAGTTAACTCAGGCATTGATGCGATTAATCGCGATTAAAAAAATTTAATAGATTGACAGCACTAATTTTTACTTATTTCTAGTTTTTTTTTCAGGGCACACATTTAGAAAAAGCTCCAAGTGGATGTTCACTGGAAAAACAATCTAGAAATAAGTAAAAATTTCTTAAATTTTGTGTATTTATCCTTAATTCGAGTAGCTAAATGAGAAAGTTTGCCAATGGGATGAGTATTTTTACTCTTAAAATATGTTAATTCGATAATATGCACTTGAAACAAGACAATGCAATTGTGTTTTCTTATTGTAAGTGTAAATTGTCTTGTTCCATTGGCAAAATGTCTCTTTTACCTTCTTAATCCAAGAACAAATGCACTTATTTAAAAAAAAAAATGACTTATATAGATTTTGATTTTTTCCAGTGTGGATAAAGTCTTTGAGTTTTCCCCTCAGTCGGCCCATTTAAGTTATTTGAGTTACCGAGTTCAGGACGTTCAGACATTAAAATAAGGTAAATCTAAAAACAAAATGGCTGAAGATGAAAAAAGGCGAGTTGTTTGTAAATTTAAGGCCCTGATTTACCTGGAATGCTGGGAAATAAATGTCTAAGAAACTCCTGAATTCTTTTTTTCGTCCCAGCAGACCTGCAGTTGAAAAAGTCACCAGCGGCGGACAGGAAATAATCCACTGATTTCCACGTCTTAAGGAAACCGCTGACCTTTTATGGCAAACTGGTCACTTCAGGGTTAAGCTGCTCTGAATTCACTGAATGGTGCAAAATTATAACATCAACTTTTTTTCATATGCAAACCTCTCTTTGCACCAATGTTGTTGTTTTGCACAACATTAAATGGGTTTATGCTGCACAAAGAACCTGAATCATTAAATAAACTTAAGGTGGATATTTTGCAGACCAATTCTGTTCCTGCATCAATAACCACTGATTATAAAAAGCTGTGATCCACCTTCTACCTTTGAAATGCTGTCATTAATAAACGTTTGATCTCACCAGCCGTCTGAATTCCTCTTCTGTGAATCCCATGTGTTCGTGCACGATGCTGTAATCGAGCAGCAGGTCGGAGTTGAAGATCAGAGGGTCGTCTGTGTTCAGGGAGTAGTTGGCCTGGTCTTTTCTGAAGCTGCTCAAAGCAAATGATCCAGTAAAGAAACCAGCATAACCCAACCGGTTCGTTTGCTTCTTACTGTGACTCACGTGATGATGGGGTGTTCGGTAAAGTCTGCGTTCCAGGCACCTGTCAGCCTACTGGAAAGAGGACACATCTGCAAGGAGAAGAGCAGCAGGCAGTGCAGTGAGCTGAAGTCTCCACTAGGGGGAAGAATATCTCTGCTTTTGCATGGAAATCTACTCTACTGATGTAAAACGTTTCAGGATATTTAAATGCTATATGAATGAGACTAAAGCAACTTTTACTGCTGTGTTTTTTCTCACCTCAAAGTGCATATTTTGATCTAACAGTTGTCTGTACAGAGTTTGGTCCTCCAGTGTTCTGTAGCCGTGTCCCACCCGCTCAGCTTTCAGCACTTCCACAGCCTGGATACCAGAAAAAAACCTTTTATAAGTGGTTCTTCTGAGAAGTTTAGTTTGAAATCAGCCATTTATTTAAGCCTAGTCTTAAATAATCCTCTAAACAGTTAGGAATCATATGGTCTAACCCTACAGCCAGAACACATTCATCTATTTAAGAGTGGGCTCAAAGTTGACCGAGATAAGACCAATAAAGTTCTGAGCAAGCCCATGCAGCTGCTGGCTCCAGCTCAGTCCTTCCTTTGCCAAGTTGTAGTAATAATAATAATAATAATAAATAATTAGTACTAGTATTTTTTCAAAATAGGTACGGACAATTGTAACATGTGGAGGATTTTAATTCAGTTAAAGGTATACTATGCAACCGCTGTTGATTTTCCAGCGAGGCTCCCCCCAGAGGGCGCCGTCGTAAATATGCTCAGCTGTTCTCCTGGTTTCTCCGTCAAGCCAGGCGCGACATGAGCTTTCGCTGTTTTCTCGCTGGTTCCGCCATGATAACTGCACAAATATGGCCACTGCGCTAGCAACGAGCATGCCTTTCACTGGGGGCGTGTAGCAGTTCTCGCCGTAAAGCAAGACCGACTCTCGCGATGCACAAAACTTCTGAGCCTGTGGGTGCGGGCCGAGGGCTCCTGCAATTGCAAGGATGGTAGTTCCCCTACAGACCACCAGGGCGGCCGAGAAAACCTTTGAATGACTCATTTAATCATCCGAAACGTTATGGAACACATTAATTAACTGAAAAATGTTGCAAAGTATGCCTTTAAGCAAACGTTGGTGAAGATTCTCAGTCATCCAGGTCATAGTCATTCCAAAAAACAATCCGCTGGACTTTGTTTCCAAGTTTGAAGACGTTTCTCTTCCATCCAGGAAGCTTTTTCAATTCAAATGTCAGAAATAGCGTTGAGTTCCAGGTTTTATACAGCAGACCAGCAATTCTTTGTTTTTGCTTAGACAGCATGCAAATTAAAACAGCCTGTTTTAATAGGCGGGGTCTTCTGTTCTGCTGTAAAGGGGTTGCGGGGTGCAATGATAGCTTATGAATTGAAGAAGACTCACTGATTGTTAAAAAGAAAGATTTAGTTCTATTCGTGGTGGAAGTAATTAATTGTAGTTCACAGACGACAAGAAAAAACGAAAAAAATCTAAATAATAGTGAAAGCTGCAGAAAAATTATCTGGAAGTTAAAGACTTAAACTGGGAAATGGTTGAAAGCATGATGGGAAAACCGATCAGAGACTGGCAGAATTACAATGACTTAAAGATAAATTAAAATTAGGAGGGCAAATGTGATTTAGTATTTATTATGTTGGGTTACGTTAAACTTTTTTTTTTTTTTTTTTTTGGGGGGGTGAATATGCTGATGAAGGTTCTCAGTCATCCAGGTCATAGTCATTCCGTAAAAATTAAAAAAAATATCCACTGGACTTGGTTTTCAAGATTTGAAGACATTTCTCCACCTCTCCAGGAAGCTTTCTCAATTCAAATGTCTGGATCCGCAGTGAGTCTTATATGGACAAGGCCTTGTATTGCTTGGAAACATGCAAATGGTAACCGATGAATGGGTCGTTTAGTTCCATCGTTAGCCTGTAATATCTGAACCTGTCTATGATTGTTAAGGGTCGGTCGTTAAGGAGGTATTGTTCACCGGCTGGAGCGGGTAGGTCCCTCGTTCCTCTGTGATGGGGTGGGGGGTTTGGTGATATCTGGAAGGGATCATGTCTATGACTGAATTGTATGTTTTATGAATCGTTTCCTGTTTCCTTGCTGTACTTCATATCAGTTGGTGGTGGTAATGCACTTCTCAAAAGTTTGCCAACCGCCATAAAACCTCATAGGAAGAAGAAGATGATAGCGTAGGATCCCTTCCCGCTATCACCCCCCTTTAATGACCCCCTTTCAGAGACTTAGGCCCCGTCCACACGAAGCCGAACCCTGGCCTAAACGCACAAATTTTTCACCAAACCAGCCTCTCATCCATACGAAGCCGGCGTTTCGGGGGTCTGTAAACGATCTTTTTTTTATCAAGCCTTCAGAGTTGGAAGATTTTGAAACGCTGTTTTCGCGTTTCCATCTTTGAGCTCTAACCGCATTTTTTTTTTTTTTACACGCATGCGTCATAGCGTCTCCTCTAAACATGCATGCGCGACACAGTATCACAACAACAATGGCGCCGTACTGTGTTGAGTGGTTGCTGCTCATGCTACTCACCCTGCTGTCGGGCTTACAACAGAATCTTCTTCTTCTGGAATATCTCCAGGAAGAACAGAGCAATATCGACGACATAGTTCAGCACCTGAATTTGACTGAACCACGAAAATGGACCCGCAGGGCAAACGTGTATAAATATTAGTGCGCATGCCCAACATTTCGTCGCCTATTTTTGCTTTGGCACCACAGCGCCACTTACAGGCCTGGCATACATTTTGCAGCGTTTTCATGCATTCGTGTGGACGATCACATTTATTTTACGTCTCCGTCTTTACGGCAAACGTTCTGGAAAATATTAGCGTTTCGTGTTCGTTTTGACTTCGTGTGGACGGGGCCTTAGACATGTATGGGGTATTACAGGCTAACAAAAGAAGCCAAACAACCCCCATTCCAAAGGGTGGACCCGTTCATCTGTTTTAATTTTCATGTTTTCAAAACAAAATCAACGCTTTGTTGGGCTGCTGGATAAAACCTGGAACTCAACGCTATTTCTGGCATTTTGAATTGAAAAAGCTTCCTGGATGGAAGAGAAATGTCTTGAAAACAAAGTCCAGTGGATTGTTTTTAAGGAAAGTTAAGCAGGAGGTATATTTTATTATCAAAAAAAACAAAAACTGAAATATTAGAACTGTAAATATACAGTCACACTGGAAAAATCGAAATCTAGATAAGTCATTTTTTTCTTAAATTGAGGAGACAAAAGAGACATTTTTTCAATGGAACAAGACAATTTACACTTAAAATAAGAAAACACAACTGCATTGTCTTATTCCAGGTGCATATTTTCTAATTATCTTATTTTAAGAGTAAAAATACTCACTCCATTTGCAAACTATCTAATTTACCTGCTCAAATTAAGGGTAAATACACTTAATTTAAGAGATTTTGACTTATTTGTAGATCGTTTTTCCACTGTATATTACTGTTTTTATGTATTAGACAGAGCTGAGTGTCATCAGCCTTGAAGCGAACAGGAATTCTCAATTTCTTGAAGATATTACTGAGGATTAAAGAGTAAATGATGAATAGTCGGGGTTCCAGGACAGAGTTTTGGGAACACCAGTTTTAACTACACTGCAAATAATGTAAATCTAAATAAGCCATTTTTTTCTTAAAGTAAGTGGATTTGTTCGTGAATTAAGGACGTAAGTGAGACACTTTGCCAATGGAACAAGACAATTTATATTTAAAATAAGAAAAACCAACTGCATTGTCTTATTTGAAATGCATATTATCTAATTGTCTTAATCTAAGAGTAAAAATACTGATTCAATTTGCAAATCATCTAATCTATCTACTCAAATTAAAGTTAAATACACCTAATTTTATACATTTTTACTTCTTTCTAGATCGATTTTTGCAGTGAACCATCAAACTAAACCTGAAGTGCTTCCAGAAAGGTAAGAAAGAAACCAGTCACTGCACTGTAAAAACGATCTAGAAATAAGTTAAAATCAGTTTAAGAAGGTAAATAAGATGATTTTCCAATGGAATTCAATTTTTACTTCTTTATTATAAGATAATTAGGTAATCTGCACTTCAAATGACAGAGTGTAAATGTTTTTTTCTTATTTTGAATGTAAATTGTCTTGTTCCATTTGCAAAATCTCTCATTTAACTCCTCAATTTCAGAAAAAAGCAATTATTTAACCCCTAGAACCCTACGGACCCACCGGTGGGTCCAGCTGCTACGTGACCTCGTAATTTTAACAAACCCCCAGTATTGATGTAAAAAACACATTTGACACAGTTTGGTGACATTTATGGATAAATGTGTGTTACGTCCACCGAGGACACAACATATTCGGGGACACGAAAGGCAAACTTTGTTTAGACAAGCCCCCAAAATATGTTACGTCCACCAAGGACACAACATATTTGAGGACACGAGACAAAAGATGAGGGTTCAAAAAAGTTATTTTATTTATCAATTCTCTCCGTTTTAGTTGTTCTTGGTTCGGCTTCTTCAGATTTTCTGCGAAGAGAAAAATAGTTAAAGGCCCTCAAATCCCGTGCCCCAAAAAGTAAAAATAGAAACCCAAAGTAACAACAGAAAGTTGGACCTGGCAGGCCGATCAAACAGAATAAAACGGTACAGCAGGGGGCCAACCCTATACAGGGCCGTCGAAGCCCCTACTGGTACCGGACTAAAGGCCAAAAATAACCTAAGCAAAAGAAAAATCGAAAATAGGACAACCGGTCCCGCCAGGCCAAAAACCTCAAGAAAAAAGTAAGAAACAGTTAACAAAAATACCGCATGGCAGGCTGGAACGTCCGCTGCAGGCCGCAGCGACAAGACAAGTGCGCACCGCGCACGATGGAACAAATGGAAGCAGGTGGAAAGCGGCGTCCAGGCGAAGACGGAAAGGAACGCGCCAACGTGCTGAAAGCCAGCCTATTTATAGGCGGACGACAGCACCACAAATTAACATAATTAACTCGCTAAAAGAATCCCAAAATATATTAACAAAAGATCCTTCAACTAAAGTCTGTAAGAAAACAAAGAAAAGAAATAGACAAAAATCCTAATGTGCCCGAAGCACATAACATGTGCCAAAATGGCCTCTCCGCCTAAGAAATTTCTCACTAATACCATTCTAAAATAAATATGATTCATCTGATTGAGTCCAAATTTGGTATATTTTTACACAACATTTAGATTTAAAAGTCTGTACTACTTTTTTGTGCTATAAATAATATTTTGGTAGTGTTTTGCAATGTTTATTTCAAAGAAAATTTTAGGCGAGGTTCAAAAAATGCAAAATATTTTGTATTTTGTCCCTAATATTTCAGGCAGGGTCAAAGCTACAATGGTGCTGACACCAGAAAACCATTCTATGACATCTTACCTTTACAGACGTACCAAAAGTTTCTTCTTAAATCTAATAGCTGTGAGGCTATAAGTGATTTACTTTTGTGTGTTTTTGTCAGGCAGAAATGTATTTATACCCCCTGAGGGTGTAAGAGGTTAAAGAAAAAAATGACTTATTTAGATTACATTTGTTTGCAGTGGGGGTTTGAGTGCACTGCAAAAATGATCTCAAATACCCTTAATTTGAGCAGGTAAATAAGATGATTTGCCAATGAATTAGTATTTTTACTCTTAAAATAAGATAACTACATATTATGCACTTGAAATAAGACAATGCAATTGTTTCACTTAAATCCTTAATTCAAGAAAAAATGCACTTATTTTAAGAAGAAATGACTTATTTAGATTTCATTTTTTTGCAGAGTGCTGATTACTGATAATCTATGGTGAAGGTTAGAGAGAGAAAACTGTGCCATAGGCCGGACTCAGATCCTGAAGAACGAGAACAGAAAAAAGACAAGTCAGCTGCCATTAAAGGATCATTGGACTTTTTAAGAGGATGGTTTCAGTTCCATGAGACTAGCAGAAACCAGGCAGGATCTGCATTAAGAACTAAAAACAAAAAATAAAGAAGAAAAACAGTTTTTCTAAAGTGGCTTCAGCTGCACATTCAGACACCTTCAGCTACTTCCTGTTTTGTCTAAACCAGCTACCAGCAGAGGCACGGGGCCGCTTCAACTCTCCTCCACATTCGCAGCTTCTAGTTGAATCAAAAACATCCACTCAGACATTTTTTACTAAATTCCCGGCTCCTCCCTCCACTGACCTGCGATCCGTCAACATGAAACTCTGCTCTGCTTGTGGCTTCTGGCTCTTCGCCCTCATCTCCATTGTTTGAGTTTAGCTTCAGTGTTTTATTTACACACATTAAGGAGCAATTTCTATGTTGGATGACACAACAGCAATGCCCTGGAGCAACGTCTCAGGCTGCTGGACGGCTTACCTCCCTCACCGCCGACGGTGGGCCCACCTCTCCTGCGTGCACCGTGCGGTGTATCCCACAACGAGCCGCCTCCTGGGTACAACAAAACGTATGGAGTGAATTTTGTTTCATTATTGTTGGAAGTCAAGAACACTTTCTGTAAATTGATATTTTGAAAAAAAAATGATGACTTTAAAAAAGTTCTTGAACAAAGGAAAAAAGATTGGTGTTACTCAGATTTAAAGTTTTTAATTTTTATATACTTTTAAAAAATATATAGTTTTTCACTTTTTGTTTTTAGAGATTTAAGCTCTTTTTTTTTCTTCAAATTTCTCTTTTAAATAGTATTTTACAGATCCCATTCTCTTTATTTCAGGCCCATTACTAAAAACTCACTCTTGACCAATAAAAATGATTCTAACGTCCAGCAGACCAATAGAAATGCTTCCTGTCTCACTCTAGAGGAAAGCCCGCCCAAAGTAAAGAGAATGCAAATTGTAAAACTCAATCTAATAAAAGAGAAATTTAAATAACAAAAAACACATGTAAATATATAATAAAATATATAAGTAAATAAGAGACAGAAAAAAATATATAAAAAAAAAGAATTTGAATTTTTTTTTAAATAAAACTGAAATAAATAAATACAATTAATAGCAAAAAATTTAATTAGCATCTTATTAAAATATAAAATATGAAAAAAAAACGTTTAGAATAAAAATTACATAATGAAAAAATAATACATCTTTTTATTTCTGGATAGAGTTTTTCTTACAGTTCTATTTATAAAACATATTTCCTCTTAACAATAATGGAACAACAATCACTCCATAGATATCTGGCTTTCACATCTGCAACACAGAGCTGCTATTTCAGACTTCAGCTTGTTTTATTCTCAGTAAAACATGTTTTGCATGAAAAAATTCGCCCTTTTACCCAAAAAAGAAACTTTACATAAAGATAAAACACTCCCTGTGTTTATGCCGTCTGTTTTTATTTCAGCCTTGTCAGCCTTGGCGTGTCCCCAGGAAGTTTGTCATGCTTATTTAGCACATATGTATCTGAGACCATAAACTGTAGAAGATGATAACGCTTGTCATGAAGGGGACTCTGCTCCCTGTTAAATGCTGAATGAAATTTGTCATTCATTAGATCAGGATTCTCTAGATAAGATACTGTCATTAAAACATCATTAGTATTTAACAGGTGATCAAACTCCTTTAAGCTTCAGATCAGAAACTAGATAATGCCAGAATTACCAAATAAAGTATTTGATAGAATAAGAAAACAACAGAAAAACTGTCTTAGTAATTTAAAGCTTCTTACAGCTGTGCTATAGACTATTTAGTAACGCTGGACCTTCCTGTTCTAGTCAGAGGGTCGAAGTCAGACAAAAATAAAGTTCACCTTTTATGATTAATGTGACCCTTATATTTAATGTGGCATATAACAGGGCTACTAAATAAACCTATTTGCTAATATATAAAGTAGATTTTTTTCTTGCATCTTCATGCCTCAGGCATTATTTTAGAAAATTTACTGTACATTTGTTAAAATTCTGCTTTTGCAGCTTAAACAGTGTGTTTGGTGCCCTTATCAGGTTAAACAGGGAATACTTATGAAGTCAGAATTCTGCTAACAGAGCGAACGGGCATGAAGATTTACATGAATATTTAAAAATACACACCCGTACGCTACAGTCTGGAGCATTTTTAATGTTCTATGGGTGCAGATTCAATACACTGAGCCGCCCAGTGTGCCTCTGGACCTTTATGGATCTGTTCCTGCAAACCAGTGATTCCCAACCGCCTACCCCTAGTGGTCTCTGAGTGCATTGCAAGGAAAATATTTTATTTCTTAGGTATTAGAATGAAATAGGGATCGGTCTTGCTTTGCAAGGATCAAATTGAAAAATTAAACAAGCTTTATTTAACATAAAAGTAAGTTTTTCTTAAATGTTTGAGTTCACTAAAACCAAGCAGAGGAACAGACTGGATGTAGAGAACAGCCTGGGATCAGCTGTTTTCCACGCTGAGCTAACCGAGCTCATCAAAACAGCTCAGCTGTCTGGATGAAAAGTAAAACTAATTAAGTCAGTCTGACTATAATTTTCATTCTTTATTTTGTTCCAAATTCATCAAGTTTAAATGTGATAATGAGGGAGTTACTCAGAGGAGCTCCACTTTTATAAATACAGGTTTATAGTGGGATTTTATTTTGTATTAATTTCGATTCCTTACTAATTTCCAGGCAACATATTTATGTTGTTTTTTTATTTGAGATGGAAAGCATAAATGCCTGAGAATTAAATGCTGAAATTAAAAGATTTATTAAAATAGCTTTTGTTTTATAATCAATTATTGTATGTTCCCCATTTTGGACAATCAATACTTTTGACTACCCGCGGGTACTTTTGTACCCAAAGGAGGAGGAGGACAACTGCTGTAAACTCTTGTCACCGACTGTTATTGGCTGCTTTTCAGGAACTCCTGCCTTTTCACACAGTAACTTTTTCTTCCTGGTTGTTGATCTTCAGGCTAATAGCTGTTCAATCCGTGTATCATTCGTTCTTTCTATTTTCAATTGCCAATCAAAAAACAAAAAATTGACTGGTTATTTTGTTTTTTGTTTTCTATGGTTAAACCAAAAACGAAAAAAGGATTTGTTTTTCATATATCAATTCTAAGCTCAGATCAAGAATACGAAATGGAAAAACGGACAGCAACGCAGAATTTGTTTTTAATATTTAATCGGTACAGTTTATGTGACCCGGAAATAGCTCTTTGCTCGGCAGTTGGGGTAATGAAGTGGTTACCATGGCGTCGCTAGAACCACACACTATGTTGATCAAGAAGCTTTTTGTTGTTGCTAGTTAAAAGTACAGTGCACAGAAAAGTTTCAAGAAAAAAGTTATACCTGGAAAATCCTGCTGATTTTCTCCGTTGTCATGTCCTCCTCCTTAAGAGTCACACGCTTGGATCCTCAAAATAACACGTAACTGTCCATGGCTAATAGGTCCGACTGCCTTATCTGCTTGATCGAACGTGGTGGGGGTAAGCCAATTGTTTTTAGCTAACGCTCCACCAAACTTCCGGGTCACGTAAATTGTACCGATTAAATATTAAAATCAAATTCTGCGTTGTTGTCCGTTTTTCCATTTCGTATTCTTGATCAGAGCTTAGAATTGATATATGAAAAACGAATCCGTGTATCATTCGTTCTTTCTATTTTCAATTGTCAATCAAAAAACAAAAAATAAAAAATTGACTGGTTATTTTGTTTTTTGTTTTTTATGGTTAAACCAAAAACGAAAAAAGGATTTGTTTTTCATATATCAATTCTAAGCTCAGATCAAGAATACGAAATGGAAAAACGGACAGCAACGCAGAATTTGATTTTAATATTTAATCGGTACAGTTTACATGACCCGGAAGTTTGGTGGAGCGTTAGCTAAAAAACAATTGGCTTACTCCCACCACGTTCGATCAAACTGCACCAGATAAGGCAGTCGGACCTATCAGCCATGGACAGTTACGTTTTATTTCGAGGATCCAAGCGTGTGACTCTTGAGGAGGACATGACAACGGAGAAAATTTGCAGGATTTTCCAGGTATAACTTTTTTCTTGAAACTTTTCTGTGCACTGTACTTTTAACTAGCAACAACAAACAGCTTCTCGATCAACATAGTGTGTGGTTCTAGCGTCGCCATGGTAGTCACTTCATTACCCCAACTGCTGCGCAAAGAGCTATTTCCGGGTCACGTAAACTGTACCGATTAAATATTAAAAACAAATTCTGCGTTGCTGTCCGTTTTTCCATTTCGTATTCTTGATCTGAGCTTAGAATTGATATATGAAAAACAAATCCTTTTTTCGTTTTTGGTTTAACCATAAAAAACAAATAACAAAATAACCAGTCAATTTTTTATTTTTTGATTGGCAATTGAAAATAGAAAGAACGAATGATACACGGATTAAAACCCAATCCTTTTTTCGTTTTTGGTTTAACCATAGAAAACAAAAAACAAAATAACCAGTCAATTTTTTATTTTTTGTTTTTTGATTGACAATTGAAAATAGAAAGAAAGAGTGATACACAGATTCTATTCTCTTAAGGAGTTTTATTTTGTTTTTGTCCTTTAATGAATTTAACATCCTGAGTTTCGGCCATTTCACTTGTTAAAGAAAACTTCTTCCCAGCATTGAATTATATGTTTGTACTGGTTATCCTCCAGTCAATAATTATGAAATTAAACATGTTCAAAATTATGCACATCATTATTGCCAACTGGAATGTTCATAGTTATGAGTTTTAGGGCCAGGCTAGAGATTTTTTAAATTTTTATTTGGAAATAAAGTCGTTATATTATGAGAATAAAGTAATAAATTTATGAGAAAAAAGTTGCAACATTACGAAAATCAAGTCTTAACATTACGAGAATAAAGTGGTAACATTACGAGAATAAAGTCGTAATACTGTATTATGAGAAAAAAGTTATGACACTATGAGAATAAAGTCGCAATATTACAAGAATAAAGTCGTAGCATTACGAGAATAAAGTCGTAGCATTACGAGAATAAAGTCGTAAATTTACGAGAATAAAGTCGTAACATTACGAGAATAAAGTCCTACATTTATGAGAATAAAGTCGTAACATTACGAGAATAAAGTCATAAATTTACGAGAATAAAGTCGTAACATTACGAGAATAAAGTCGTAATACTGTATTATGAGAAAAAAGTTATGAAATTATGAGAATAAAGTCGCAATATTACGAAAATAAAGTCGTAACATTACGAGAATAAAGTCGTAAATTTACGAGAATAAAGTCGTAACATTACGAGAATAAAGTCGTAAATTTATGAGACTAAAATCGTAACATTACGAGAATAAAGTCGTAAATTTACGAGAATAAAGTCGTAAAATTACGAGAATAAAGTCGCAAATTTACAAGAATAAAGTCGTAACATTATCAGAATAAAGTCGTAAATTTACGAGAATAAAGTCGTAACATTACGAGAATAAACTCGTACATTTACGAGAATAAAGTTGTAACATTACAATAACGTTGTATTTTATGACAACTCTTAGAAGACGCACTTTCTTCCCTAAAATGAGGAATGTGGAGCATCATGTGAAGTTATACTTTGGCATCGGTTTGAAAAACAAGGAAATCAAACTGGGCGGGATGTCAAAGTGGACTGGTTGCTGATTGGTGGAGCTGGTTGGAGCTCGAAGATTTCTGTCTGAAACGGGTTGTGGCACGATGATTTAATTCTCGTTATTTTTCAACTTTAATCTCATAATGTTATGATTTTCTTCTAATTTTGGGACTTCATTCTCATTAAGGTACGACTTTAATCTCGAAATGAAATGAAAAAAAAATGTCAAGCCTGGCCCTAGTACTCCGTCGTACATAGTTAAGCTGTCTGTGGGATAATTTATAAAAACTCCCCTAAGCAGCACTGCTAGTTTCTTAAAGTTAAATCGCTGTTATGTTTGTTTCTGATGCTGTTTATGTCACAGAGTCGCTGCTACACAAGCAAAAAAAGATGAATGATGGATCCGTGATTTAAAATCCCAATTATAAGATGGCGCTCACCTCGTAGGCCTGCTTGTGTTCTGGGTAGGCACAACAGTCCAGGGACTCGTCACCTGCCAGGTCGATGGCCACCACCCCTTCGTTTCGATACCTATTACACAACTCCACGACATCCATGGACCAGCCTGGAAAATGTTCACATTCCAATTACAACCCAGTTCCTTTCCGCCGACTCACAGTCTCACATCACAGCAGAGATAGAGCAACATAGAAGGCAGCAGATAACTTGAGCCAATATTTGCTTTTTTTTCCACTTGCATCGGCATCGTTTACAGCACGTCTGATTTAAATGGTTAGAAAGGCTCAGCAGCTTTCAACTGCTTCAGACGGCTGATTATAGGAGCAATATTGTAGCTATATAATTAGCACGTGTGTAGAGAGTTTCGTGCCAGTGTCTTGATTTTGTGTGCGCAGCAGGATTTGAAAATGTTTAAAAAATCTGGAAATTTGTCTGTACAACAATCTGCAAATGTGTAAAACTACTTGTGTGTAATCCGGTTTGCAAACCTGTAAAAAATCCACAAATCTGTATTCAGATCTACAAATATGAACAAAGGTTTGCAAATTTGTACCAAGATCCAGATATTACACATACGAATCCTCTCAATGCATTTCCAGATCTCATATGACAGAAGTAAACAATGATTTGTCTGTATTTCTGGGTCTTGAAGCGAAAACACTTCAGATATAAGTGTGTCTGTGTGTGCTTACAGATTGATCCACACATTTGCAAATCTTAGTGCACATTTGCAGATTTTAGTGCACATTTGCAAATCTTAGTGCACCTTTGCAGATTTTAGTGCACATTTGGAAAATCTTAGACCACAATTGCAAATCTTAGTGCATATTTTCAGATTTTAGTGCACATTTGCAAATCTTAGTGCACATTTGGAAATCTTAGTGCACATTTGCAGATTTTAGTGCACATTTGCAAATCTTAGTGCACATTTGCAGATTTTAGTGCACATTTGCAAATGTTAGTGCGCATTTGAAAAATCTCAGCGCACATTTGCAAATCTTAGTGCGCATTTGGAAAATCTTAGTGCACATTTGCAAATCTTAGTGCGCATTTGCAAATCTTAGTGCGCATTTGGAAAATCATAGCGCACATTTGCAAATCTTAGTGCACATTTGCAAATCTTAGTGCACATTTTGAGATTTTAGTGCACATTTGCAAATCTTAGTGTGCATTTGGAAAATCTTAGCGCACATTTGCAAATCTTAGTGCGCATTTGGAAAATCTTAGCGCACATTTGCAAATCTTAGTGCGCATTTGGAAAATCGTAGCGCACATTTGCAAATCTTAGTGCGCATTTGGAAAATCTTAGTGCACATTTGCAAATCTTAGTGCGCATTTGGAAAATCGTAGTGCACATTTGCAAATCTTAGTGCGCATTTGCAAATCTTAGTGCGCATTTGGAAAATCGTAGTGCACATTTGCAAATCTTAGTGCGCATTTGCAAATCTTAGTGCGCATTTGGAAAATCGTAGTGCACATTTGCAAATCTTAGCGCACATTTGCAAATCTTAGTGCGCATTTGGAAAATCTTAGCACACATTTGCAAATCTTAGTGTGCATTTGGAAAATCTTAGCACACATTTGCAAATCTTAGTGCACATTTGCAAATCTTAGTGCGCATTTGGAAAATCTTAGCGCACATTTGCAAATCTTAGTGCGCATTTGGAAAATCGTAGCGCACATTTGCAAATCTTAGTGCGCATTTGGAAAATCTTAGCACACATTTGCAAATCTTAGTGCGCATTTGCAAATCTTAGTGCGCATTTGGAAAGTCGTAGTGCACATTTGCAAATCTTAGCGCACATTTGCAAATCTTAGTGCGCATTTGGAAAATCTTAGCGCACATTTGCAAATCTTAGTGCGCATTTGGAAAACCGTAGCGCACATTTGCAAATCTTAATGCGCATTTGGAAAATCTTAGCACACATTTGCAAATCTTAGTGCGCATGTGGAAAATCTTAGTGCACATGTGCGCATTTGGAAAATCGTAGTGCACATTTGCAAATCTTAGTGCGCATTTGCAAATCTTGGTGCGCATTTGGAAAATCGTAGTGCGCATTTGCAAATCTTAGCGCACATTTGCAAATCTTAGTGCGCATTTGGAAAATCTTAGCACACATTTGCAAATCTTAGTGCGCATTTGGAAAATCTTAGCACACATTTGCATATCTTAGTGCGCATTTGGAAAATCTTAGCGCACATTTGCAAATCTTAGTGCACATTTGGAAAATCTTAGCGCACATTTGCAAATCTTAGTGCGCATTTGGAAAATCGTAGCGCACATTTGCAAATCTTAGAGCGCATTTGGAAAATCTTAGTGCACATTTGCAAATCTTAGTGCGCATTTGCAAATCTTAGTGCGCATTTGGAAAATCGTAGTGCACATTTGCAAATCTTAGCGCACATTTGCAAATCTTAGTGCGCATTTGGAAAATTTTAGTGCACATTTGCAAATCTTAGTGCGCATTTGGAAAATCGTAGTGCACATTTGCAAATCTTAGTGCGCATTTGCAAATCTTAGTGCGCATTTGGAAAATCGTAGTTCACATTTGCAAATCTTAGCGCACATACTTTTACACATTTGCAGACTGTTGTACAGACACACAGCTCTCCACACACACATGGAAATAATTTTGCAACAATATTGCTTCCATAGATGTTTGCTTTAAATCCGGTTTGGCAGCGAGGAGACGCCTAAAACATGCAGGGTAGCAGTACTTTGAAAACCACTGCAATCATGTATTTAAACATGAGATCATATGAAAAGTTTCACTGCCACTCCCTCTTTTTTATCCTTAATTCTTGTTCCCTTTGATTAGTTAGCAAAGCTATCTCTTTATTTAAATTAAAACTTGCATAACATTTGTTTTCATTATGTAATTTTTATTGCGTCATGCCGACACCCTGATGAACCCATTGTCCAGCATGTTTTGGGTGTTTCCCTGCCTCCACACACCTGACCTGAATAAAAAGGGGATTAACTAGCTTATGCCGCATTTGATGGCTGCCAAGGAGGTAATACAATCATTTCAATCTGGTGTGACTGGGTGGAGACTCATCTTAAACATGAAGGACAATGGGTTCCTGAGGACCCTGGTGTAAATGGAGGGGGGAATAAAGGCTATATCAGCTCAAAAGTCGGCCTAAAAACAAAAAAATCTGCAGCACATATAAGGGCTCTGTTTGACTGATGTAAAAGACCAAATCAGTATGGGCATCATGACAAGAGTCTGCAGATGAGATGGGATTATTTATTATTTTAAAACATCTAAATAAATCCAGTAATATAGCACCTCTGGAAAAGCTTGAAACTATATGATCAGTTTGCTATGAATTATAATTTAACATCATGTTTAATGTTTTTTATTTAAAGATTGACTCCTCTTAGGTCTGTGCAGAAAAACCTGTCAGCAGCCGAGTCACTGAGCCTCACTTAAAAGAGTCAAATCGAGTCTTTTCTGGTTCTCATATTAACCAGCCTGACATGAGAATGACATGAGCTCTCTGCAGGACGCAACAAATTGGTTGCTTTATTTTCTTTATTAGGCTATTTTTCCTTAAAGTATATATTCACATTTAAAAAAAACTACAATGACACAAACATCTGTACTGTTCCTTGTTCACAAATAATGATATATTTTTAAAGAGAAGCAAAATCTGCGTCTGTTTGGCAATACTAGGCAGTTGCCTAGGGCCCCAAGTTCCTGGGGGCCCCATAAAACTCTGTTTACATGTATAGTTAATACAACTATTCCTTATTTTTGCACATTAATTATCTTTTTATAAAAATCCTTTGGCTAAAATGCCATCAGAACGCTGATAATATTAAGTGTGTCTCAGCCCCCCCCCCTTCAGTGTCCACCATATTGGATCAGTCCATTTGCTGCACATGTTCAGAAAGGTCCAAACAGACAGCAGCAAACCATTTGAAAACAAACCATGCAAAGAGCAGTGTTGCCAACTTAGCGCTTTAGTCGCTATATTTAGCCACTTTTCAGACCCCTCTAGCACTTTGATTTCTAAAAAGCTCCTAGCGCCAAATCTAGAGACTTTTTTCTGCTGCTGGAGACTTTGGAGACAACATCTAAAAGCAGCGAACTCTGCTCTCCAGAGCGAGTAGATTGGTAACCCCGCCTCCTGCTCTCCTCTATCTTGTCTGCTGTCATGATTCATGCAGCTATTATTTCATCCAAATGAAAAATGGAGAACAGATAAGCAGATCATGGCTTGTCTACAGTGAAAAGAAGGACTGGGTTATTTACTTTGGCCTTTTTGGAAACACAGGAAGGAGCAATCAGCTAAGTGAGCTTAGTGCTTGGAAAAAATCTTTCATTCCTTTAGAGACAGCATGAAAAGTCAGCTGAGTACAAAACATAGAGAGGAAAACAAGAAGAAAAGGGACAAAACCTAGAACAGATAATGGATGTCTATTCTATTAACATTTCTCTATCTGTAGAACGGGTCTGTTTTATGTGTTGTCTTCTCAATTCAGAGGGCCCCCTGCCTGTCTTTGCTTAGGGCCCCACATTTCCTAAATCCGCCCCTGATTATTGCAATGTAACTCCTTCCATATAACTGTTGGGTTACATGGAAAAAGTTGCTAAACAGAGATCAGCTGCTCATGTTACAGAGGTTTTATGTTACAGTTAGCTCAAAGACTGTCAACAAGGTTGTGCTATGTGTTAACCCAGTAACACCAGCTGCTGCTAAAAGGATGACATCTTCAAACAGGAGAAACATGCTTCTTTCTTTTTAATGCCTCAGGGTTTCGTAGTTCTATCTTTCTTTAATGGCCTACAAAGCATCTTAAGAGACAGAAAAGCATTTATCAGTTTGTCATTTTTTAGTACTTTGTGTCACAAGACACAGACGATTGGCAAACGTCTGATACTGAAGGCCATAGCTCACAATTCAGTAAATCTTTGAAATGTAGAAAGATGAATTAAACCCTGCATTTATTCATAATTATACTTGTTTCCATGCATGCTCAATAAAATATGTAAATATGATAATATAGAATATTTGTTGGTTCTGTGCTGCAGCATATTATAAAAACATTTTATCTATGAGCGTAGTTACTGCCATAATCTGTTTAGTGAGGCATCAATTAACCGTTGATGTTATTATTATAACGCAGAGGAGCTGCAGAATAATAAATAATAATGAAATTATATTATACTGCATGATTGCTTTGAATGCTAATAAGAAAAAAATATTAAGAATGTCTTTATTATTAATTTGATTGACACTAAATGAACTAGGAGAGCTATTCCAAAAAAGTAAAAAAAAAAAAAACAACAATCCACTGATCTGTTTACTTGTTTTCTAAGCAAAAGGAAGGCTTTGTTGGGCTGCTGGATAAAACCTGGAACTCAGCGCTATTTCTGACATTTTGAATTGAAAAAGCTTTCTGGATGGGAAGAGAAACGTCTTCAAACTTGGGAGCAAAGACCAGTTGATTGTTTATTTAAACTTTTTTTTGGAAAGACTATGACCTGGATGACTGAGAATCTTCACCAGCGTAGGGGAGCTATCAATTTTGTTCAGGGTTGCTACAGCATAAGGCAAGTTAAATTCAAGACTTTTTAAGACTTTTTAATGCCACTTGAAATAAAAATTTAAGACCAAATTCACAAGAAACACAAGAAAAACCCACTTGCGACAACTTAACCTAAAGGTTTATTTTAACATAAACCACTGCACTAATGTTTCACATTTTGAAAAGCTTCCCATACAGGAAGAAAGCTAAAAACACACCAATGACAGAAATATTTTAACAATTATTTAAAGGAATAGTACACCCAAAACATGATTAGCCTTCATTTTCTACTCACCCCCATGCTGAACAACACTCTGGAGTACTTTTTTGATATCTCAAATGCATCTGGAGATCTGGGAGGCTTCTTGCTGTCTGCTGACATTCAAATAATGGAGGTCCATGGCGCCCGAGGCAGAAAGGTCCATAAAAGTCCACAAAAAACGTGTCAATATTCCTCCATACTGCTCGTCCAATGTATTCCAAGTGTCCTGAGTGGTTAGCGTCCATAATTTACTCGAAACGAAGTCATTTAGAATGTTAGAGCATAAACAGTAGTGTATAGGATTTCCTAAAAGCGCGTTCACGAGTCTACGGAAACCGCGGCAGACCAAACCAGATGAAAGTGCGCATTCAGCGTCTGCTCTGCCGATAATGCAAGCGTAGAAGAAGAAATGTGCTGTTTACCTGTGCAAAGAAAGAAACAACGAAAGAAAAATGTCTGAGGACTTCAGTGTTGAGGAAGAGCATGAGTTCTTTGCCGAGCTGAATGCGCACTTTCATCTGGTTTGGTCTGCCGCGGTTTCCGTAGACTCGTGAACGCGCTTTCAGGAAATCCTATACACTACTGTTTATGCTCTAAAAACATTATAAATGACTTCGTTTCGAGTAAATTCTGGATGCTACCCACTCAGGACACTTGGAATACATTGGACGAGCAGTATGGAGGAATATTGACATGTTTTTGTGGACTTCTATGGACCTTTCTGCCTCGGGCGCCATAGACCTCCATTATTTGAATGTCAGCAGACAGCAAGAAGCCTCCCAGATCTCCAGATGCATTTGAGATATCAAAAAAGTACTCCAGAGTGTTGTTCAGCATGGGGGTGAGTAGAAAATGAAGGCTAATCATGTTTTGGGTGTACTATTCCTTTAACTGAAATCACAAACTTTGTTTTAGCAGGGAACAAAAAAAATCAGTTTTAAAGCCCCAACATAACCAGAGCTAAGTCTTTTTAGCAGCTATTTTTCTTTGTATGGTTTTCTTAGTATGTTTGATTTGGTGATAAGTGGAGGCATTGCAGAGACAAGGGTGGAACTAAACTGAGAAATACCGGCTGTTTCTCTGTAACTCCATTTTGACGCTTTGTGTTTCGCGCTTCGCATGTGCGACTCCACTGCCTTAATTCCCATCGTTCTGTGCTTGAATGACTTCTTGCACTAAATCCACTGAGCCTCATGTATGTTCCCTGGTTTTAGCCATGGAGGAAACTCTTGGCTGGAAAGCGAATTTTGGTTACATTTACACTTGCTCATATTTTCCAGACAAAAAGTTAATGGTGCATCTCCCAAATGTCCCGGCCGCATCAACGCTTTATTGGTTCCGCTATCGGGACGGAACCAATAATGGCGAGACGTTTTTTTTTTTTTTTTTATAAAATAAAAAGGTACATTTTAATGTTTTCTTTAGATTACAAAAATAAATCATAATAAAAATAATCCTATTTATGATGTTTTAAAAATTAAGACCTACGAAAGACTGATTTAAGACATTTTAATACCAATTAAGGCCTTAGTTTTATTTTGAGGAATTCAATGCCTTTTAAAACTTTTTAAGGACCCGCGGGAACCCTGTTGTTGCAGAATGGTGGAGTTTGTGTAGCTTCACATTTCATCGCACAGTTTCTGTCACTAGAAGCGAGTCATTCCTTCCTCTGTAATCTGTTCTCTCAGCTGAGGGCTGGTAATGTGCACAGAGTCTGGTTTCCTGCTGAAAAATCAATCGCTTCCCCTGAAAAAGATCTCATCTTGAAGCCTGAATATGTGGCTCTAAATGTCAGGGGACTTTCTTGCATTAATTATTTCATTTCTCAATATTGTTGATACCGAGCAATATGTTCATGTTCCTGTATGGCTGGACTTTAGACCAGCACTGAAAGAACAACAGGTGGAAAAGTCTAGTGTGTGCCAGAGGTACGACACTATAGACACACAGCTATGCCTGTTAGCATTCTAGCGTTGCCAATTAACCAAATTGCCCGCCTTGCAATGCATGAATGACTGTAGAGAGCATCGACAGATACAAGCTGACAATTCAAAGCATCATTTTATAGAGTTCATATTGTCTGCAAGCCTTCTGGAGAAGTTATTATACTTTAATACATCTGGTTTACATGGATTTGTTTATATTTTTCAACTAAATAAAAATACACTTTCCTATCAGTTCAGTTCAGAACCGCCATGTTCTTTAGACTGAACTGTCACTTCTCGTTGCGTCACACCTCAACCTGCCTCAAAGCCAACGCTGATTGGACGTTCGTTTGGTGAACGTCTCCAAATTTTGAATGGCAGCCAACTTCCCTGCAACTCCCAGCAAAATCCCCTACAACTATCAACAATTGGCCCTCTCCTGGGCGTGCATACTGTATTATTTTTTACTCTGACTCTACCCTTTACCGAATAACAGGGTCTGACCAGGAGATGACGTTTCTCTTTAGATCTTAATGTGGAAAAATCATGACAGAAAGAATATTTTAATACAAAGATTGATGTTTAAAAAAGGAATTGTAGAGGACTAACCAAGATAGCCTGGGTGCCATTCCGAACTTAGTCCCGCCCACAACGTTTGAGGTCGGGAAGTTCGGTCTGGCATTGCTCAACAGTATGCTCACACAATATCTGGCGGGTCAATCAAATTGTCAGGGCGGGCTTTATACGATGATGGACAGATGATCAACGGTAACGTAATCAACCATGTGACCAATGCGCGCTTGGGTGACAACAATAATGGCTGCCGCCGGAGAGTTTAGGTGAGTAGATTCTGCTATTAGATCTGTTCTAGAAGATATCGACAGCAATTTAATTTTAAAAGAGGAACAGAGAAACGCGATCAAGGCTCATCTTCTTATTATAGGCGTGCAACTGCACGTTGATTTTTGTTGACAACAACTATGCGTTGCTTAACATACGTCACGCACTCCGTTGCTCTTATTGGTTGTAGGTCTATCCAATTGAGTGCAGAGGCATTTTTTTTCCTGGTTCGTTCAAAACACGCCCCATAATCACAGCTCTATGGAGCAGCATCAGACTCATATTCTGACTAGAATTGAGTCGGACTACGTCAGGTTATAACCAAGGGCCCATCAAGGAAAGTGGGGACATTTTGAATGGCTACTACGGTAATTGGTATTAGATGCAGATGATATCCCAGATTAATATTTCTCTTTCAAACACACTTTAAAGGAGGAATGTTTTCTACAAAAAGAACTAAGGCAGACCTTTGATGATACAGAATATCTACATTCAGGAACCTTATCTCACAGGCGTATTTTTGGCAGACAAGAGCATGAACAGTTCATTACTTGGCATGTGGCGCATGCAGCATAGAATGGACCTGGCTTTGATATTGAAGGCCCTCTCCCCCTCGCTGAGGCCCTCGTTTACCAAACGCACCACCTCATCTGGACTCAAGTCTCCTCTGTCGAAAGACGAAAACACACAAGACAAATTAAATACTTTCCATTACAGCAGAAAAACTTCATTTATTGATTAAAAACAACCTAAATCACTCACTTTTTCTGGTTCCAAGGAATGGGTTCCACATTACAGTTGGCTAGTAAATGTGGGCTGTATCTGACTTCAACGTAAATGACTCCTTCCTTGGCTTTATCCTCTATGAACTCATAGGCGATCCTCTTTATGGCTTCCCTGTCACCACTGAAAGGGAAACAAAGATAAAAACATTTGACCTTTTGGACCTGATGGACTTTTGATCACAATCAAATCGAACCTTAACAACAACTAATCCTTTATCTGAACAGTAATGAGTTCAAAAATGAGCAACAGAAATGCTCACTGATATGATAAAACATGGTACACACTGTAACACATTTTATGGCTGACTTTTTATCAGAAGTATTTCTGCTTATCATTAACAATTCCATGTATTTTATTCAACATGTCATTTCTGATTAATTTGCATAAATCAAAGTCCTTTCTCTGGATGTATATACCGACAGGTTTATTTGATGGAGGGTTTTATTTCGATTTATGTTCAAGTGAATTTAGTTACTCTGCAAATTGGTGTTTGGTTTGGTTGATGTGTTTTTTTCCCCCCTTTTTTTCTTTCTTCTTTTTTTTCTTTTTTTGGTTGATATTAATTAGTCTTTTTTTGTCTGTCTGAAATTGTATGAAATAAATTCCTATTTTTATTAATTCATTACACTTAATGTATACTTATATATGAGGATTTTTTTCCGAAAACTTTTCGAAATCGGTTTATTTTTATTGCAACAATAGAAAATAAAACTATTTATGTACATGCATTTAATTGATTTTAACTTTAAATAAAAAAAAATAATAATAAATAAAAATTGTAATTTTAAATTGCATGTGTTGGGCTTTTAATAAAACCCTGTTTGCTTTTATATTTCCTTTCTCTGTTTTGCACTTTATATTTGCTCTGTTAGTAAATAAATAGTACAATAACAAGACTAGGTTTTCGGGATGTACGGTTTTGCACATGCATGTAATGAATAAACTAAGGAAATGAGAAGTGCAGTCCAGTGAATATTAGAAAAGGAAGTTCAAGTTTAAATGTCACAAAGTGAAAAGCATAATTTGTTACCAAGTGGTATAAGACACAAGTCGTTCTTTGAATGCAGTACGAACGTTTTTGTTCACAGTAGCGAGCGTTAAATCACGAGAAATAAGCAGATTTTGCTGTCAAGTGGATTGATCGGCAAGCAATGCTATTCTTAGCCTTTATGTTATAGTGATAGAAAAAAAAACTATATGGTATGTAAGGCATAGGATATTCACCACAAATAGGTGGTGCACTATAATATATAAGTCTGCTGATCACACTTGGTGAAAAAATGCTTTAACCCTTTCATGCATAGAGATCACTACAGTGTACAGTAGTTTAAAAGTGTTTTTTGGGCACTAATGCATATAGACCAGAGGTAACCAATTTAAAATCAGCAGGGTCCGAATAAAGAAAATCATCAACCAGTAAAGGTCCGTAGACATTTTTAATTATAATCTGTTACTTTAAACACAATTTAACACTGAAATAAAATGAGTTGTTTATGCATCCATGTTTAAACAAAAAATATATTTAAAAAAAAGAGTGGAAAGATAAACATTTCTTTTGAGATAAAGATGGTGCAACAAGTTTTTTTTTAATGCATGAGATGGTTACGCCTTAAAAAATACTAAGTAAACACTATCTGAAAGAACACCTAATATATTTTGCTTTATTTGAAGGTGAAGATTTCGGTTTTATTTTTAGTCATAGAATGTGAGTAGTCAAACTTCACCAATTGAAGCTACAATTTACTTACTCAAATTTACTTGATATTCAAACCAAAGTAAAGTAGGATATAAACCACAAAAATAAGTTATTACATATGATGATTGGATTTAAATGGAAACATGGTAACTTGTGTAACCTAAAGAATTGAATATTTAAAGGTATAGTGGAGAATTTTCCATTATACCTTTAGACTATAGACTCATCCTCTCCACTTTAAAGGTATACTATGCAACCGGTGTTGATTTTCCAGCGAAGCTCCCCCCAGAGGGCGAAAGTAAAAGTGCACTGTCGTAAATATGCTCAGCTGTTCTCCTGGTTTCTCCGTCAAGCCAGGGGCGGTTGTTTTGAGCTTAGCAGACAGGCGAACGCAACAAATCACCATGTCTACTGCGGTAAGTGGGCTTTCGCTGTTTTCTGGCTGGTTCCGCCATGATAACTGCACAAATATCGTCACTGCGCTAGCAACGAGCATGCCTTTCACTGGGGGCCTGTAGCAGTTCTCGCCGTAAAGCAAGACGGACTCTTGCGATGCACAAGACTTCTGAGCCTGTGGGTGCGGGCCGAGGGCTCCTGCAATTGCAAGTACGGTATTTCCCCTACAGACCACCAGGGCGGCTGAGAAAACCTTTGTTCGACCTGAAATGACTCATTTAATCATCCAAAACGTTATGGAACACATTAACTGAAAAATGTTGCATAGTATGCCTTTAAAAAAAAATGACATGCACAACCCTGTACCTGCTCTGAGAGGGACTGCCTATTAAACGTGCATGAGTTGATGAGTGATGCAAACAGCAATTTTTAAACAGAGTGTGCACAAGAAGAAACTTGCTGTTTGCATCACTCATACAAGCCCAATTCCAAAAGAAGATCTGCATTTTTTCCACTATGTCAGACTCACCACTGGGTGAGTGAAAATGGGGACGTAAAGATATCACCGGAATGATTGACAATAAGAAGGACCAATTATTTTAATGATCCACCCAGAAAAAGAACATCCTCCACTATACCTTTAAAACGAATGTATGCGATCTTAGTGTGTACATTTCTTTATTTTTAAAGTTAGGTAAAAACTAAAAGTTATTTTTTACCTTAAAGGAATAGTACACCCAAAACATGATTAGCCTTCATTTTCTACTCACCCCCATGCTGAACAACACTCTGGAGTACTTTTTTGATATCTCAAATGCATCTGGAGATCTGGGAGGCTTCTTGCTGTCTGCTGACATTCAAATAATGGAGGTCTATGGCGCCCGAGACAGAAAGGTCCATAAAAGTCCACAAAAAAACGTGTCAATATTCCTCCATACTGCTCGTCCAATGTATTCCAAGTGTCCTGAGTGGGTAGCATCCATAAATTACTCGAAACGAAGTCATTTAGAATGTTTTTAGAGCATAAACAGTAGTGTATAGGATTTCCTAAAAGCGCGTTCACGAGTCTACAGAAACCGCGGCAGACCAAACCAGATGAAAGTGCGCATTCAGCTCGGCAAAGAACTCATGCTCTTCCTCAACACTGAAGTCCTCAGACATTTTTCTTTTGTTGTTTCTTTCTTTGCACAGGTAAACAGCACATTTCTTCTTCTACGCTTGCATTATCGGCAGAGCAGACGCTGAATGCGCACTTTCATCTGGTTTGGTCTGCCGCGGTTTCCGTAGACTCGTGAACTGACAGGCGCGAAATTTTAGGAAATCCTATACACTACTGTTTATGCTCTAAAAACATTCTAAATGACTTCGTTTCGAGTAAATTCTGGATGCTACCCACTCAGGACACTTGGAATACATTGGACGAGCAGTATGGAGGAATATTGACAAGTTTTTTGTGGACTTTTATGGACCTTTCTGCCTCGGGCGCCATAGACCTCCATTATTTGAATGTCAGCAGACAGCAAGAAGCCTCCCAGATCTCCAGATGCATTTGAGATATCAAAAAAGTACTCCAGAGTGTTGTTCAGCATGGGGGTGAGTAGAAAATGAAGGCTAATCATGTTTTGGGTGTACTATTCCTTTAAGTGCAGAAACTCGTGATCCAAAGTTATTCAATAACCTCAGCTGTGATCAAAATATTTATTTTCATTCACATGACAAACTAGTCTCAATAGCCCACTTATGAAAGCTCTCTATATTTAGAAGCGGATTTCATTCAGTGATGCAGAAAACTGGTTCATGATTTTCACTCATATTCCCTACTATTATGATGCAATCTTAGCTGAATATATAAAAAAAAAGATTCATAAATGTTGCCTGTTCTACTCGTTGCTGGATTTCAGTAAGATTTAGGTTTTAAACATGAATTTTGATCACTGTTTATTGTAGCTCTTCTGATAACTGTTATAATTTTACTTCTTCAATCTTATATTTTTTACTGACATTTGAAAACAAGCATTTCATACTTTAGATTTTTTTTTAATTTGGCCTGTTTGTTAGTTTTACTAACTTTCCTTTAGAGCTTTAGAGGACTACGTAAAGAAAAAGAATTGAGTTTCTTGGTTTTTTTTTAATCTTTACTTGTTACTAGTGTTTTTACAGCAATACATTTCTGTAAACTGTAGGAAATGGTGCAGAACATCCTGTTTGCTTTCTTCTACATGTTTAATCTTGGGAGATATGATCTCAAAAGCCTCCCACTGAAGCACGAATAAATTCAAGTGTTTTTAAGCAATTCAGCTGCGTTTTTTTTACAGCTAATGTGTGATAACATCGGCTTTGGCTCTATGCAGCATCTCTTGGTTTCCTCACAGTTGCTCCCCCACTGTAGGAATGGATGGGGTCTGGGTTGCGATCTACAGGTTTGAGCAAATAGCTCCAGAGCGGTGAGACGTCCATCTGCCGTCAATAGTAATCCAATGGACAGAGTTTCCCAAAATCAGAGCTGCAAATTCTAAAAGTCGCGTTTTCGGATGCAGAGACATGAGGCTTAAGCCTTAAATGGCCAAGCTCCATCTGATATCAGAGATCTGATTGTTCCTTATGTTCCTAACAGAGCACTTCGCTCTCAATCTGCAGGTTTACTAGTGGTTCCTAGAATTTCTAAAAGTAGAATGGGAGGCAGATCTTTTAGTTCTCAGGCTCCTCTCCTGTGGAACCAACTACCAGTTTTAGTCCGTGAGGCAGACACCCTGTCTACTTTTAAGGCTAGGCTTAAAACTTTCCTTTTTGATAAAGCTTCTAGTTAGAGTGGCTCAGGTTATCCTGAGCTATCTCTATAGTTCTGCTGCTATAGGCTTAGACTGCTGGAGGACATAGGGTTAGTTCAATCTCTAACGTTCTGCTCTCTCTGTTTTTTCACATAGTAGCTTCATCTGGTCTGTTCCTGTTTGGCTGTGACTCCATCCTGGAGAGAAATATCAGCTGTGCTGCAGCCATCAACACCTTTGTTTATAAATGTTAGATTGGCCTGTTTTCCAGTGTAGTCCTGTTTCTCTGACTGTGACTAACTGGATGTGCTCTCTTCGTCCTCTGGAATGGGAGCTGGCTCAGAGCTTGCCTGCCTGGCTGTGTGTTTCCTGGACGGGGCCGCCTTTTACAGCTGCTTTCACAGCGTGTCAGATGCTCAGAAGCAGGACCTTTTGCTGCGCCTAGATGAGCGTCAACCATTGACTTTGCATGTAAACTAGCTGCTTCTGCTGCCTCTAGCGCGTGCAGTCTGAAAGTAGCATTACAGTCAGCATTAGGGGTGTAAATAATAATCGTTTTGTATCGATGCATCGATCCAAAAGCCGACGATCCGATGCATCGATACGTCCGCAAGATTATCGATTCATGTTTTTTTTTTCCTCCGGTCTATTTTTATCCATTTGCTCCTGGACGTAATTCTCCCTCCCGTGCTGCGGTGGCGCTAAACCTATTTTGCCCTCCTACCTCGCTTCCTGGTTATACTCTTACAGCAGTGTGTTGCAGTGAGCTTGACACAGACATTTTTAAATTATGCTCAGTATTGAAGCGTGGTCTGTGCTACACGCTGTGGATCTAGATATTGCCGAGGCGGCGAGGAAGTGGGGGCGAGTTTAGTCCGACGACGGAGGGACATGAGGGCCAAAAAGAGCGGAGATCCAGGTGGAAAAAGGGTCCCAGCGTTCTAGCGCACCTCGCTCTTCTAGCGGGTCAAACTTCACGAGTTGTTTTCCGCAATTTCGGTCAAAAACAAAACAAGCCGGCCTCCTGTCTGCGGCACTGTTTGCGGTCAGCTCTGGAGCCAAGGTATTGCATTCCACTCATTGCACTGATTTTGTCCAGTATTTTTGCAGTATTTTTTGATGCAACTTTTCTACTTCTGTTATTTGGTGTTGTTTCTAAAGAAATGCATAACGATATTACAGCTTTCATTGATTTATTTAAAACTTGAAACTTTGTTTAGCCTGTAAGGTGTGAAAAATTTTTTTTAACCGATTAATCAATTAATCGAATCGAATCGTGGCGTATTCTTGAGTTTCGAAAATAATCGAATCGTTGGGTCAGGAAATCGATACTGAATCGAATCGCCATGATGGATGTGATTTACACAACATTCACACTGCATATATGCAAGAAAGGCAACTTTTTCTAGTTATAGTGTGAAATCCTAAACCAATCCAATCAAATAAAAAGGATAATTAACATTGTCAATAAAAATAGCATCAGTCCTGGTTTTTATCCCTGTAAAATGACCCCATCACTATATAGAATGTGTGTAAGCCCTGATTTTCCTTTGCAGTCCAGGACTCTTTTTACATCACAATGCAGAAAAGAGTCCAGCTTTCAGCACTTACAATGAATGCTCACAACATGAATGACTGTTGTTCTCAACAACCTTCTTATACTAAGTAAAAAAAAAAAAAAAAACACAGACCCAGCAAAGCTCCCACTATGGCTCTGCACAAGCTAAACCTAGCCAGCAAGTTCCCTAATGTTCAGGCTACAGGCACAGTAGGGTCCATTCAGCACAGCCTGTGCGCTGCAGGCCAAACCACTACAGAGCAGCAGCATCTGAAAGCATCTGAAAGCCTGCATTTGGGTCTGTTTTCGATTAAAAATAAGACAGAGTGACACATGAAAAGCGCCCCAAACAAGTTTAGTGTCCTTTTCTGGTTGCTTGCCAAGACGACACTTGATCTCAATAATGTGGTGTTCCTGTTCTACATGTCTGGCATCTCAAACCGCCGCCCCCCCCCTGCAGTGGAGCTGAGTTACATTACATAATCCTTCTGTGCTTTACATACCAACTCTATCAATCACACCTTTAGGTTTTTAAAGACTTTGGAAGCATCATAATTGCAGCAACCACACGTGTGATAGCAAAGTGGACTTAGGCCCTGATTGTGAACGCCCGCCGTTGGATTGACTGTTTATGGCGCCTGGCGTCACGCTCTGCAACTCATGCTGGAATGAAACTCCTTCCAGTTATGCAATCATAAGGTTGATGCGTCTTCACTTACGCTATCACGTGCATGTACTCATTGAATTTTTCCAAGAATCCCGTGAGAGTCGCAGGCTCGCGAAGGATGATCTTCTCCTTCAGCTCCTCGGATGAGTTTGCATGCAGATCGATGCCTCGTCTCCTGGAAGAAACGAAAAATAAGAAATGGAGGGAAGCGTTTATATAAGTCATTTTTTCTTAAAAGAAGTGCATTTGTTCTTGAATTGAGGAGATAAAAGAAACATTTTGCCAATGGAACAAGACAATTTACACTTAAAATAAGAAAACACAATTGCATTGTCTTATTTCAAGAGCATTTTATCTAATTATCTTATTTTAAGAGTAAAATTACTCATTCCATTGGCAAAATATCTCATTTACCTGCACAAATTAAGGGTAAATACACTTAATTTAAGACATTTTTTTACTTATTTCTAGATTGTTTTTGCAGTGAGCTCATTTTACTCTAATTATTAAAAGATTCTGGGTGTCCTAAAACATTTGATTCTATCTGCAGAGCAGATCTTCCTACAAAGGTGGAAAAGTGATTTGCGTTTGCCTTTCAGCAGGCAGCACATGCAAAGATTTTTTACTCATTATTGTAGAAGATGCTATAATGAACAAACCAAACAGACTGAAAAAATTGTTTAAAAAAAATTTAAAAATGTGAACGTATATGGGGGATAAAAAGTGCCAAAATTAAATAAATAAATACAGCATTAAATAAATAATTAAATGTAATAATAATTAATTAAATATGGAATTAAATAAATAAATGTGTCATTAATTTAATAAAATACATCTTCATTTTATAAAAAAAAAAAATATATAAAATTATTTCAGTGTGCATTTAATTATTTTATGGTCCTGTGTCGCAGTGCATCGAAACCATTAAAAGAATCTGTCAAACTCACCCATCAAAGTTAGGGGGCGGTTATCTAACACCTGATTGGTCACCCTGCACATTAAGGCGAAGCAAATCGATTACAGAGACTGTGATCCACAGGTTGTGAGCATACTCTGATACAGTAGGTGGCGACTCGATTCGCGTTAACCCCGCCCCCTAACTTTGATGGGTGAGTTTGACAGATTCTTTTAATGGTTTCGATGCACTGCGACACAGGACCATGAAATAATTAAATGCACACTGAAATAATTATATATGTTTTTAATAAAATGAAGACGTATTTTATTAAATTAATGACACATTTATATATTCAATTCCTTATTTATTTAATGAATTACACATTTAATTAATTGTTTATCGCTGTATTTATTCATTTAATTGTGGCACTTTATATTAGTGACGTGGTTTTAATTAATGAATGACACATTTATTTATTTATTTAATTCCACATTTAATTAATTATTGACACATTTAATTATTTATTTAATGCTGTATTTATTTATTTAATTTTGGCACTTTTTATCCTCCATAAACGTAGCCTCGTCTGTTCCTGTTTGGCTGTGACTCCATCCTGGAGAGAAATATCAGCTGTGCTGCTGCCATCAACACCTGTTGGAGATAAATCGTCATAGGTGCGACAGGTGCTTAACGTTCAGCAGACCAATAGAAATGCAGCTTTGTTCCTCACTCCAGAGGAAAGCCCAGCCCAGAAGTGAAGAGAATGTGATTTGGAAAATGAAATTCAAATAGACAATAAAAAAGTGTGATGTAACAAAAAAGAAAAAAAAATTTAAAACCAAATCTGAGAAAACAGCAAAGTTTCTCTCCAAACCTTTTCTGATTAAGAATTGTTTCATGGTTTTCTTTCTGGATTGTATTTTTTCTTATGTAAAGAAGCACTTTAAAATGTTTCCATCACTGGAATGAATTTGTTGCAAATTAATATTTCGTTTTTTTAAAGACTACAACACTAAGCACCCATTTAGAAAACTTATTTAATTAGAAACTATTTCCTTGCACGTCTGCAGAAGGGATTTATGGATATTTATCTATCCTTCTACTTCCTGGAGCTCTTCCAGCACTGGGATTGGGAGGAAAGCAGAGGTTTTCTAACCTCCCTTTCCCATCATTCTCCCCTGGAGCTCTTCAGTAGGACACTTGGGCTTTCCGAAGCCAGCTGGAGATATAATCTTTCCACCATAACTTGTTCCGACCCTCGGCTTCCTCCCTCTGGAACATGTCTGAAAACGGCTCCGCTGGGACAAATCTGGAAGACGTCCCAATAAGGAAGAAGAGCCGTTTTAATCTGTGGGTTTATCAGCTTCTCTGCAGCCCATTAAAAACCAATTTGATTGTTTTATTTCTGGTTTTGTTCTCAGATTGACTCTAACCTCGTCTTTGATTGTAGTTCTAGACAGATAAAAATGGTTTCTGATCTTTCACCTCTCGGTTAAGCCCTTTGATTGATTCCCTTCCACCAGCAGAAAGCAGTCCATGTGGAGATCACAGTACCTGCTAACAGTGTTGACAGCTTCCCCTTTCTGAGACGTCTGACTGTTTGCCAGAATCTTACAGGAGCCGATGGAAAGTTATGTTCCCAGCTTCTCAGGATGCTGGGGAACATACAGCCGGAGAAGCAGCTCCTTTTGCATCACAGGATCTACCGACACCCTTTATGTCCCAACTCCTTATCGCCGTTTTAGCGATAAAAGGTCCCTTTTGGATGCAATGTTCCCATTTTTGAGTTTTTCAGACTTTGTTAAACAATCTGATTTAGATGCAGAACTGTTAAAAAACCTGTTCAGATCATTGTGTCCCACTTAAGAAAATGTCCATCTGTACCACAACGTTTAGATGTGTCCTGAGTCCACCCATCCATTCTCTGGCTTATCCTAAGCGAGGGCCCTGGTGCCTACTTCCAGCTGTCTACAGTCACACACTCACACATAACGAGAATTTAGACAAGCCAGTTATCGAAACAGTCATGTTTTTGGACTGTGGGAGGAAGCCGGTAGCCTCGTGAGACCATCCTGATCTCGCAAGCTTTCAAGAGTCTGGAGACTCTCCGTTAAAGGAAATTTGGAGCCGTTCAGCAAACGAACGTCCAATCAGCGTTGGCTTTGAGGCGGGATGAGGTGTGACGCAACGAGAAGCGCCACAGTTCAGTCTAAAGAACATGGCGGCTTCAGCCGATGAAACTAGCATTAGCGTGGCTATCGAGCAAGTTTTATCGGAATTACAGAGTATTTCTTCACTGAAAGAAGAGCAAAACACTGCTCTGGAGGCTTTTCTCAGAGGAAAAGATGTTTTTGCTCTTCTCCCGACTGGTTTCAGCAAGAGTTTGATCTATCAATTGGCTCCTCTTCGTCGTCGCTCTGTTAGTACGTCATATGCTTCGTTGATCTGATTGGTTTATTTGGCCCGTCTATCACCAACATAGGCCAATCAGCTAACCAGTATTTCCGCCCCTTCCCAAAATTACTTCAACGGAAGGTTTCCAGATGGATATGCGGAGCAAATCCATCTGGCGGAGTCAGGTTAGGAAGCTGGAGTACCCGGGAAGAACCCACACATGCTCAGGGAGAACATGCTAACTCCATGCAGGGAGACCACCGGCCAGAAATCGAACCCAAAACCCTCTTGTTTGTTGCGAGGCAGCAGGTCTACCCACTGCTCCACTAGGCGGCCATTTTCCTTTGTCTTTCCAAATATTTCTCTGTTATATTGCTTGTTTTATGTTCAACAAAACATCAGAGACTTTTTGGCACTTTCTCTTTGCTGAAGCTATTTTTAGGCAATTTTAAAAAATAGGAAACTATAGTGCAGGCAGTAAGCACCAACATCTTTAAGGTTTTTAAAATCTTCATCTATAATCTAAATTGGAGAAAAAGGCAAAGTTAGTCTTAAAACCTTTTTCTGATTCAAAAATTTTTTAGAGTTTCCATCTAGATTGTTAGATCTCCATGCAGTGCTACCCACTATGCCACTGAGCAGCCCAAGCATGGAGTCCAACATACCTTAATCACTAACTACATAAAAAAAGGACAGTAGAGAAATTGGCTGCAAACTGAGTCATTTAGACATTTGATTCAAGGACACGTCTAGGGTAGCCGGTTACTGTCCCTACTGTCCCTGAAACCGACCGTATGATCTTCAACTCAGTACATTTAAAGTGATTCACTTAATTAGTCAGAGGTCATAATGTTGTGTCTGATAGATGTCTTTTTTTTTTTAGTGCTATTTGTTGGCAATCCTCTGCCTTTGTATTTTGGCAATAAACTCCCTTTTTAAAGGAATAGTACACCCAAAGCATGATTAGCCTTCATTTTCTACTCACCCCCATGCTGAACAACACTCTGGAGTACTTTTTTGATATCTCAAATGCATCTGGAGATCTGGGAGGCTTCTTGCTGTCTGCTGACATTCAAATAATGGAGGTCTATGGCGCCCGAGACAGAAAGGTCCATAAAAGTCCACAAAAAACGTGTCAATATTCCTCCATACTGCTCGTCCAATGTATTCCAAGTGTCCTGAGTGGGTAGCGTCCAGAATTTACTCGAAACAAAGTCATTTAGAATGTTTTTAGAGCTTAAACAGTAGTGTATAGGATTTCCTAAAAGCGCGTTCACGAGTCTACGGAAACCGTGGCAGACCAAACCAGATGAAAGTGCGCATTCAGCTCAGCAAAGAACTCATGCTCTTCCTCAACACTGAAGTCCTCAGACATTTTTCTTTCGTTGTTTCTTTCTTTGCACAGGTAAACAGCACATTTCTTCTTCTACGCTTGCATTATCGGCAGAGCAGACGCTGAATGCGCACGTTCTTCCCGTTTGGTCTGCCGGCTTCCGTAGATTCGTGAACGCGCTTTTAGGAAATCCTATACACTACTGTTTATGCTCTAAAAACATTCTAAATGACTTTGTTTCGAGTAAATTCTGGACGCTACCCACTCAGGACACTTGGAATACATTGGACGAGCAGTATGGAGGAATATTGACACGTTTTTTGTGGACTTTTATGGACCTTTCTGCCTCGGGCGCCATAGACCTCCATTATTTGAATGTCAGCAGACAGCAAGAAGCCTCCCAGATCTCCAGATGCATTTGAGATATCAAAAAAGTACTCCAGAGTGTTGTTCAGCATGGGGGTGAGTAGAAAATGAAGGCTTATCATGTTTTGGGTGTACTATTCCTTTAAGTTTTCAGCATTTTCTTTTAAAACTCAGGCACATCTGATGTATGGAGGGAATTTTATTCCATTATTGTTCCAAACAAAGGAAGCATTTTATATACTGAAATTTGAAGGAAAAAAAAGTGAAACCAGAAATTAAACTTTGAAAAGGTTTTTGATCAAAAAATAGATTTGAGGTTCACCTTGCTATGTTCTCTGATAAAAAAAAAAACCCAGCATATTTTAAATTTGTTTTTTTTTTGTGTGTGTTTGTTTTAGTTTTATATTCTTTTATTTTTTTCTAATTCTTATTTTCAAATTGTCCTTTATAAATTGCATTCTCTTTACTTCTGCGGTGGGGAAGTCCTCTTCAATAAGGACTGAAGATGCATTTCTATGTGGATGTTAGGAACTGCATTTCTATTGATCAATGGGCCTGAATTAAAGAAAATTTAAACTGTAAAACATCAATTTAAAATATGCACTTTGTAAAATTGGACCTGAAAAATATGAATTTGGAGAAAACAACATTTGAAAATATACCTTTGTAAAAAAATGAAAGGAAAAAGTAAATATGATGATAAAAATGTTAAAAAAGTAATAATTTGATTAAATAAAGCCTTATAAAACAGTTACTCTTTATTGTTACAATCTGTCACAATAATAAAACAAAATTCACTCCATATTATGGTGGTTTTTAAGATACAGAAAAAATAAAGCAAATAAACCTACTTTGCAACATCAAAAATGGTCTCCACCCTGATGGCGCCATCAAGATGAACATGAAGCTCGATCTGCGGATGAAGAAGAGAATCGGTGAGTCAGTAGTAACTTCCTGCACATCAAAGTTAGCCCGTCCTCCTCCACAAAGAGAGCCGGGGTGCTGCAGTTGTGTGCTTTGGCTGCAGCCCATTGTGCATACTGAGCACACGGTTGGGCAAACAGTGGTGAACAGGGCCAGGGGTGCCACAGGGGGCAAACAGAAGAGGCTCCTTTGGCTCTGCCCCTGTTGCTGAGAGCTCTGATTTATCCTGGCAGATGAAACAGAAGACTCGGCTCATCCCTCAACGGCTGACGCCTCAAATACGTTGCTGCTATTATGAAAGAGCAAAGCGAGCCTCTCCCAAACTTGAAGCTTATCCAGGTTTCCTTTTAGCTCTGCAGAGCTTCAGATGATTTGGATCATACTGAAACACAGCTGGGTTACGTTCGTCTCAGTTTTAAGAAAGCCTGTTATTTTCCTTGGATGGGAACAGACCACTGCTTTGTTTGGAGAATATCTAATGATAGTATTTCTGTGAAATGTCTGAACTCTGGGACAGAGTGTAACTACTGTTACTTTTATAATATTCATATCATATTCATATTCTGCTATGGTTTAATAATAATTAGACAGCGGTGGACAGTCATTGAGTACATTTGAGTTAAAGGAAAAGTCCGGTCAGCCATGAATAACCAATTATTTATACCTTAAACGTTCATGGTGATTTAATAATTTTGCCGTTAATCAGTAAAATAAAATAAAAAGAATAACTGTCGTCGCAATCACTGAGTCTGGGAGCGGCCATTTTTCCCCCAAATATAGCAACCCCTCCCTCCTGCCATCTTCCAGCAGTGACGTCACGCTTTACAAGCAAAATCAATGGGAACTATTAGACACTAGGGGTGGGTAAAAAAATCGATTTAATCGATTTTGAATCGAATCCTTTACATTTTTGCAAAATCGATGTCTAGGGAATGAGATCGATTCATTTTGTAATGAGACGCGTGACGTTCAAAATTCAAATAAGCAGGAAAGATTCACTCAAGATGACTTCAAGTCAGACAGCTGCAAATATACCCAATAGGTTGGCGTCAACAAACCGGGGCTGACCAGCAAACTCCCTGTAGTTACAGACAAAGCTGCAAATATGGTTTGTGCATTGAAGACAATGCAGCTCATGCATGTCTGCTGTGTCACGTCTGCTTGCTCGAGTGAGGCTTCACTTTTTTACTTTTCTCAAACAAGTTTGCACTTATGAGACCGTTTTTTTAACATCTCATGTTTAAACTGTCTGATTTACAAGTTTGCACTTTGCGTTTAATGTGACAGGGAAAAACTAAATACATTAGTATTTTGAAACTCAGTTTAACCACTTTTATTATAAAACAGATCAAATTGAAATTAATCTATTTAGAACTGTATTAATCAAAAACGAATCGATTCAGGACTTTGGCGAAAATATCCAGCCCTACTAGACACATCTGCAATCAACAACAATTATTGAAGATTTCCAGAGGACTTCACCATTGAAATTCACCAGAGCTATAGTGAAACTGACAATGCCCACGTGCATGGCAGCTGGATGCTGGAATACACCAGGGGAAAAGTGAAAAAAAAAAAAAGTTATTTCATCTTTCCAATTCCTGATCCTCCAGAGCACATCCAGCCAATCACAGTCAGAGAAACAGGACTACACTGAAAAAACCCGTAATATGTAGCCAACATTTGGAAGAAGAATGTTTTCAAGATGACTTGGATAATAGCGCGTTGTGACAAACACCAGATACAGCACTGGGACTTGATCAACAGCCGATACCGCACCGTGACGTCACTAACCAGTAGGTGGCAGTAGTGTTCTTTGACAAACATGGATGCCTCCAGTAAAGCACATTCACATGAAAATTACTCTGAATTAAAAACACTGATCATTTATTGAACAGTTTGGAATAATTTCATATATGACCGGACTTTTCCTTTGAGTAAAGTTTTGGAGGATCTTTACTTTAAAATGAGTAATCCACTATATTTCTTGTTGTTACTTGTTCCTTTTGGGTCAGCTTAGCTTTGTAATCTGCTTTGTAAACTAGAGTTCATCCTTAAGAACGGGCATCCTGGATGTTTTGGCTATCTGTCTTTTTCAACATACCTGTGATGAACAGTAGCTCATGAGCAGGTATATGCAAAACTTTGACACGCTGATGAGGTTCTGCAGTAACTACCTCTAGATACGAGAACCGGAGGATAGAGTTTGAATGCTTCCATTTTAGAGATTTAATGACGTTCCACATGTGAAAACTCAGATATTGTTAGTAGTTTACAGTTTTATTGAGAAGCGAGTTGTAGCAGGTGGTTCTACTCATCAACACATCAGGTGTTTTCTGAAAGTTACAGGTTCTTTAAAATTATTAAAATTATACACACCTGTACTAATATTAGAATATGTAATTTATACTTTTTAATACTTAAAAGGTATAGAGGACGATCTTTTATTTCCAGGTGGATCATCTCAATAAGTGGTCCTCCTAATTGTCAATCATTCTGGTGATATGTTTACGTAAGGCCGTCCTACGTGCTCGTCCTGTTAGCTATCTTTTTCTGTGCATGCGCACTTTCAGGCGTATATCTGTGCTGAGCAACGGTTTCAGTCATTGAAGCTCACCTTTCTCACAGCGGTTCAGGGTGCACATCATTTAGCCATGTCTCTGTGAGTCCATCTACATGCTCTGAAAACATTTTGTCCTTGATCTTTGGGGAGGATCTTGTAAGATGAGAATAGGAAAAGTGATCCTTAACGGCAGGTTTGTGATTGCATGTTTACCACACATGTTTTATCCACTGAACCTCCCCCTCCTTATCTATTGCAAAGAGATCTGGATCACGAACTGAACAAGATTCTCATAAATAGCTAAAATAATCAGCTTCTGCAGGGTGATGGAGCTCCACCTTATAATGTGAGGAGCTGCATCATTTAAAGTGAATTTGGCACATGATGGAGGTGCATCCTGGATGCATGTCACCAACAACCATTTATATGGAGCAAGTAGTTTCAAAGCTGCAGCCTTTGAGCTTTCTGCAGGCCACAGGGCGCGTGCCAACTTCGCATATCATGCAAAATCATGTGGTTGTTTCTTTGCAGTTAGTACATTGTGGTCATTTATAGAATCTTGTGAAACTGACACATGCTGATGTTTTGCACGATACGTGATCCGAGAAATGAAATCCGCCTTTAGAGATGTTTCATGCCAATTTAAGCAGCCAAACAGGAAGTTGAGATGAACTGAAGATAATTTATGGTTCTTGTAAAAAGGAAAACATTTGGCCCTCCCGCATGCAGCACTTTCAATTATGTGTATTTGTTCGAAAACATTGTTAATGTCATCCAGCTGTGCTGCAAGCTGAAAGAAAAGGATTGTTGCTGCTTTTACTTTTAAAGTAAATCACTGATTTAAACAGCTAAAATTAGTCCTAAAATAATATGTAAGGTTAGTTTTATCTGTGGAAAAGATTAATTAGATTCATCTGATCTGCTGATTGGAGCAACCTTGTAGAAGAACGTTTAGTAAGGATGCAAGTAATCGTTAAATTAACTCTTTCCATTACCATAAAAATGATTATTAAGCTTTACAGTATGCTGATTTTGTCATAATTTATATTTTAACTATTTATTTCACAAGCTGTATTAAATATTAACTTAACATCATTAACCCTGCGATAGCCCGGTGACCTGTCCAGGGTGGACCCCGCCTCTCGCCCATAGACAGCTGGAGATAGGCACCAGCAGCCCTCATGGCCCCAGCAGGGATAAAGCGGGACAGAAAATGAATGGATGGATGGAGCATTTGGAGGATTTTGGACAAACAAGCAATTAGTAATTTCAAGTATTTTATCAATCTAACAGAAGGAGGGAGCAGTTGCTGTAAGAAAAAACTGTGAAATATTTTTCCTCTTTTCTTTTTTTCACCAATTTGGTGTTTAGAAGCTCAATAGTCAGTTCCTCTCTGCTTGTCTCACACAAATTATGTAACAACCAGAGCAAGGATGTGTAAAATGAATCCTCACTGTTCTCTGTACATCAGAAAGAACTCGTAGAGATTGGTTAAACATCTAAAAGATATATAAAATAAATAAAAATTAAAAAGTTATCAGATTTTTTACATTTCATTTCAGTTTAATATGGACAAAAATCTCATTGATTCTAATTCTAATCTCAGAATTCAGACTTTAATCTCAGAATTTGGGATGTGAGCAAGAGATGTGAGAAAAAAGTCCGAATTCTGACTTTTTTCCCATATTAACCTAAAACAATATTTAAAAACCTGTTAACTTTATTTTTTCAGAGGCCCTATTCCTCTTCTGTAAACCTCAGATCAAACACAATAGGATTTTCTTTCGGTCAACAATTTTCCCAAACAAGTTTTGAAAGACTGTCTAAATTCAGTTGTTTTCCTTGGTTTTATCTTATTGGCAGTGCTCTTCAGTCTCCTGATGGCTGCATCATTTAATGTAACTAACAGCAATAGAATAAACCTGTTTATCTAGAGGAAAAGGGTCACATCGTTTAACCTCTTTAGGTCTAACTGCAACAGCAATATGCAAAAATATCCAATTGTGCAAAAAACAACTACAATAGCTTTGATAAATACATAGAATTAAAATTGTACAAAATTAGAAATAATGAACTTGAATAAATAATAAATAATCAAGATTCCATGTGTCAATTTGTCCCCAAGACCCTTTGTATATTTTTTGTCTGTTTTCTCATTTTCCTTTTTCCTGATGTTGCAGTCACTTGGTATTATGTCAACCACAATGGCTTTCCTCTGCTTTCTGTATGTATATATATATATATGTATGTATGTGTAAATATAAATATACAAAATCATCGGTGAACAACCTGGAGGCTGAAGTATTTCTGAATGAATTTTTTTTTTCTAAGTACTTTGGCATCTTTCTACATACCAAAAACATGACTGTTAGATTGGTATGATAGGTGTGTCTGTTTTTCTTTCCTTACCTTTGTGTTTCTCTATCGCCCTGTAAATAACTGCTTTTCATGCTTAATCCTAACAAAACCTCGGAGAGGACCATGACTGAGCTTTAAAACAACAACAACTAACAGATTTTGCACGAGTAGAACTGGACAAGTCAGAGCTACAGGAGGAACCGGCTGAGAATAAAGAACACCAGGGAGCTCACATACTGAGGTAAGGCTGGAGGAAGAGGGAGAGCTCAATCAGCGGATTATGGAACAGCTATGGCACAGTATGAGGAGGGGAAATAATCAACACTCTGCTAAAAATAGAGAAAAAATTAAAGAATGAACTAAACGCCAAACAGAGGAATATATTAAACAGAGGAAAGAAACTGGTAAAAACAAACCAGTTGATGATGATGATGGTGAGGCTTACAGGGTGGAACCTGCCTCTCCACATAAATGCAGAAATAGTGCAGATTTAATACAGGCCTTTCACTGTCTTTACTGGATTACTGAGAACATTTTAACACGATTTGAAAATTTTTCCTTTCATCGTTTTAAAACATTTTTAATATTAATCAGGGTTAAAATGATCAATTTAACCTTCCAAATTTATTTTGTTGTTTACTGAATTAAAGCCCCGGCACTTGGAATAACTGTGACTGAAAATGGACGGATGAATGTTTTCTGAATTAAGGGAAATTAAGATGTACATTTTTAGGAGAATTCTACCTTGTTCTGCCTGACAGGAGCGCATCATTTCATTAATGCTATCAATAAAGGCTTTGGAAAATAAATACATTTTCCACACATGAATTGATTGATTTAACTCATACAGAATGATTCATATTATGCATTTGCTGCTGTTTATAGAGCAGCTATTAACTACTATTACTAGGGATGCACGATATTGGGATTTTGGCCGATATCCGATATGCCGATATTTTAAAACTCATGTAGCCGATAACCGATATCGATACCGATGTTAAAGCTGGACAAAAATAAGTAGTCATTGAAAATAGCAGTTTTGTTATCCATTTCTGACACTTAGCAAAGCTTACTATTATGGAGTAAATTATGCTCCATTATTGTTACAAGCAAAGAAAATATTATGTAAATTGAAATGAGGAAAAAAAATGTAATCCAGAAAAGGTTTTGAGATTAATTTAGTTTTTTCCGACTTTACTGCTTTCTTTTTTGTTAAATCTCAAAATGTTTGATATAATTTTTTTTTTACTGATTTTATATTGTGCAATATGCTGAATGTGCAATATTTCTCCACCTGTATATAAGTCATGCGGATTGTACATATTTTTATTTCATATTTTTTTATTTCTTATTTTTATTTTGTTTTTCATTGTGTGCGATACAGGTACACTTGAACCTTAATCCTATTTATCTATACTGTATATACCTGGATATACTGTATATATATTGCTTATTCTTAATGCACCTTTTCCTCCCTGTTTGCACCTTCTGTAACTTCTTTGCCAATATGTGACGAGAGAATTTCTCCGCTGTGAGATCAATAAAGCTCATCTAATCTAATCTAATCTAATTTTCAATGTTTCTTATAATATACACTATATTGCCAAAAGTATTTGCTCACCTGCCTTGACTCACATATGAGCTTAAGTGACATCCCGTTCCTAATCCATAGGGTTCAATATGACATCGGTCCACCCTTTGCAGCTAGAACAGCTTCAACTCTTCTGGGAAGGCTGTCCACAAGGTTTAGGAGTGTGTTTATGGGAATTTTTGACCATTCTTCCAGAAGCGCATTTGTGAGGTCGCACACTGATGTTGGACGAGAAGGCCTGGCTCTCAGTCTCCGCTCTAATTCATCCCAAAGGTGTTCTATCGGGTTGAGGTCAGGACTCTGTGCAGGCCAGTCAAGTTCATCCACACCAGACTCTGTCATCCATGTCTTTATGGACCTTGCTTTGTGCACTGGTGCACAGTCATGTTGGAAGAGGAAGGGGCCAGCTCCAAACAGTTCCCACAAAGTTGGGAGCATGGAATTGTCCAAAATGTCTTGGTATGCTGAAGCATTCAGAGTTCCTTTCACTGGAACTAAGGGGCCAAGCCCAGCTCCTGAAAAACAACCCCACACCATAATCCCCCCTCCACCAAACTTTACACTTGGCACAATGCAGTCAGACAAGTACCGTTCTCCTGGCAACCGCCAAACCCAGACCCGTCCATCAGATTGCCAGATGGAGAAGCGCGATTCGTCACTCCAGAGAACGCGTCTCCACTGCTCTAGAGTCCAGTGGCGGCGTGCTTTACACCACCGCATCCGACGCTTTGCATTGCACTTGGTGATGTATGGCTTGGATGCAGCTGCTCGACCATGGAAACCCATTCCATGAAGCTCTCTGCGCACTGTTCTTGAGCTAATCTGAAGGCCACATGAAGTTTGGAGGTCTGTAGTGATTGACTCTGCAGAAAGTTGGCGACCTCTTCGCACTATGCGCGTCAGCATCCGCTGACCCCGCTCCGTCAGTTTACGTGGCCTACCACTTCGTGGCTGAGTTGCTGTCGTTCCCAAACACTTCCATTTTCTTATAATACAGCTGACAGTTGACTGTGGAATATTTAGGAGCGAGGAAATTTCACGACTGGATTTGTTGCACAGGTGGCATCCTATCACAGTTCCACGCTGGAATTCACTGAGCTCCTGAGAGCGACCCATTCTTTCACAAATGTTTGTAAAAACAGTCTGCATGCCTAGGTGCTTGAATTTATACACCTGTGGCCATGGAAGTGATTGGAACACCTGATTCCAATAATTTGGATGGGTGAGCAAATACTTTTGGCAATATAGTGTATATATTTTTTATTCTGGGTTCGATTCCCGATATGGGATCTTTTTGCATAGAGTTTGCATGTTCTCCCTGAGCATGTATGGGTTCTCTCCAGGTACTCCGGCTTCCTCCCACAGTCCAAAAACACGACTGTTAGATTAATTGGCTTCTCTAAATTCTCCTTAGGTGTGTGTGTGAATGGTTGTTTGTCCTGTGTGTCTTTGTGTTGCCATGATATGGACTGGCGACCTGTCCTGGGTGGACCCCGCCTCTCGCCCATAGACAGCTGGATATAGGCACCAGCACCCCTCGTGACCCAGCAGGGATAAGCATGACAGAAACTGGATGGATATTTTTTGCTTTTTTTTTCTCATTTCTTTTAGGCTAAGTTTTACTAATCTGATTCTTTTAAATTTGTTATTACAGATCCAATTCTCTTCGCTTCAAGTCCACTACAGATGTTTGTCCTTAACACACCCATTGACAAAAATACGTTTTTCCTAAGATTCAGGGAGACCTGAAGAAGTGCAATTCATTTTTTCATTTTTTTAATTAAATAAATAAATAAAATAATAATAAAAAACACAATTCAATCTGAAAAAGAAAATCTGCACCAATTAAAAAAGAAATGATCAAATCTGTTTGCTCATTTTTTCTTTTTTATCCCTATTTCTTTATTTATTTTTTCAGTTTCTGTGTTTGCAGCAATAATGGAATATAATATCAATCTACCCTATGTGTATTACTCCTCCGACAGCAAAGTCCAAGCTCAGGTTTGGATGCTTTCCCAACCCTAAGGTTGCGAGCCAGCAGCGGTATCAGCTCTGCAGCAGCTTATTAATATGTAATGAGGTTTTATCTCCTCCAGCCTCTCTACTCCCTCAGCTCCGTGTTTCTGCACAAATTCACAGATGATTGTTTTTTGTTTTTTTTTTACCCACGGTGCCCACATGCTTCCTGTTTTTCACCCAAACTGTGAAACTGTAGGCAGAACAGGTTCAGAACGACCCAAACTCTATTTTTTTTTTTTTGAATTTTTTTTCTGCAGTAAAGGAGAAAAATAAAATTTTAAATTGCTCCTACAGTAGCCATTTTTAACAGTTTTAATATCTTATTTCCTCTTTCCTTTAATTTATCCTCTGTCTAAATTTCATAACCAGCCGGTCCGTGAGTAATAAGACCAACTTCCTCAACTGAAGCCGCGTTTTAAAGGCAACCAAAAAGTAAAAACTCCAATGTTCCGTTAAAGTTTGGATCCATTTCATCACTAATTGATCAGAAGCAGCTTCCATGGTTCCTCTTCCTCTCTCTGTACTCTCTGTTCTCACTGTACTTGTTGTACCGGCAGCAGTAGGGGGGCCCGGGGCCCCCCACCCTCCCCTCCATGATTAAAAACCTTTTTATTTTCAGTTCCTCAGGACCAACCTGCGGCTCTGTGACCTACCTTAGGCTGGTTGAACAGCTGTGGTTGTTGGGAGCGCTCGGCCATGGTGGGGAGCCCGCGGCAGCCGGTGTGTTTGCTGGTGCGGACTGAGGAGATGAAGAGAAGCGGAAAGCCGAAGCCTGCCGCTCCTCGACGCGCTATTATATGCATGACCCGGAGACACGCCTTTATTCTGCCAACTGTAAAAAAAAAACACACACGCAACGACACAGCAAAAAAGAGCAGAGTGCGCTCAGCAGATAATCGCAGAGAGAGCAACAGGCTGCAGAGTGATCAGATGGAGGCTGCAGGGCGCTGGGTAGAGAGGGATTAATTAGCAGCTTTGCACCATGTGGTGAAAGCTTTACAGTAAGGCCAATTAATCAATCAAAGCAGGTCACTAAACTGGTCAGACTGTTTCATTTAATGATGACTGGAGTCACAATGCCTGATGGCTGAAGGTGGGCACTATGGAGGGACAATTGGTCCATTATTGTTGCAAGCAAAGGAGGTTTTGTAAGAGATTTGAAAAAAAAATTTGAAATGAAGAAAATGCACTCAAGTACGGAAGAGGATTAGGGCCACATGAAAAAAAAAGTTTACTGATTTTTAAAATTTATTTCAGTTTAATATGGGGAAAAATTCAGAATTCTGACTTTTTTCTCAGAATCCTGACTTTAATCTCAGAATTCTGACTTTTTTCTCAGAATCCGGACTTTAATCTCAGAATCCTGACTTTTTTCTCAGAATTCTGACTTTTTTCTCAGAATTCTGACTTTAATTCTTTTAATTCCCCTACTGCTGCCGGTACAACAAGTACAGTGAGAACAGAGAGTACAGAGAGAGGAAGAGGAACCATGGAAGCTGCTTCTGATCAATTAGTGATGAAATGGATCCAAACTTTAACGGAACATTGGAGTTTTTACTTTTTGGTTGCCTTTAAAACGCGGCTTCAGTTGAGGAAGTTGGTCTTATTACTCACGGACCGGCTGGTTATGAAATTTAGACAGAGGATAAATTAAAGGAAAGAGGAAATAAGATATTAAAACTGTTAAAAATGGCTACTGTAGGAGCAATTTAAAATTTTATTTTTCTCCTTTACTGCAGAAAAAAAATTCTAAAAAAAAAAAAAAATAGAGTTTGGGTCGTTCTGAACCTGTTCTGCCTACAGTTTCACAGTTTGGGTGAAAAACAGGAAGCATGTGGGCACCGTGGGTAAAAAACAAACAAAAAACAATCAGCTGTGAATTTGTGCAGAAACACGGAGCTGAGGGAGTAGAGAGGCTGGAGGAGATAAAACCTCATTACATATTAAGCTGCTGCAGAGCTGATACCGCTGCTGGCGTCAGGCTCGCAACCTTAGGGTTGGGAAAGCATCCAAACCTGAGCTTGGACTTTGCTGTCGGAGGAGTAATACACATAGGGTAGATTGATATTATATTCCATTATTGCTGCAAACACAGAAACTGAAAAAATAAATAAAGAAATAGGGATAAAAAAGAAAAAATGAGCAAACAGATTTGATCATTTCTTTTTTAATTGGTGCAGATTTTCTTTTTCAGATTGAATTTTGTTGTTTATTATTATTTTATTTATTTATTTTATTTAAAAAATGAAAAAATGAATTGCACTTCTTCAGGTCTCCCTGAATCTTAGGAAAAACGTATTTTTGTCAATGGGTGTGTTAAGGACAAACATCTGTAGTGGACTTGAAGCGAAGAGAATTGGATCTGTAATAACAAATTTAAAAGAATCAGATTAGTAAAACTTAGCCTAAAAGAAATGAGAAAAAAAAAGCAAAAAATATCCATCCAGTTTCTGTCATGCTTATCCCTGCTGGGGTCACGAGGGGTGCTGGTGCCTATATCCAGCTGTCTATGGGCGAGAGGCGGGGTCCACCCAGGACAGGTCGCCAGTCCATTGCATGGCAACACAAAGACACACAGGACAAACAACCATTCACACACACACCTAAGGAGAATGTTCTTTATTCTCAGCCGGTTCCTCCTGTAGCTCTGACTTGTCCGGTTCTACTCGTGCAAAATCTGTTAGTTGTTGTTGTCTTAAAGCTCAGTCATGCTCCTCTCCGAGGTTTTGTTAGGATTAAGCATGAAAAGCAGTTATTTACAGGGCGATAGAGAAACACAAAGGTAAGGAAAGAAAAACAGACGCACCTATCATACCAATCTAACAGTCATGTTTTTGGTATTTAGAAAGATGCCAAAGTACTTAGAAAAAAAAATTCATGCAGAAATACTTCAGCCTCCATGTTGTTCACCGATGATTTTGTATATTTATATTTACACATACATACATGGTGACCCTTTTACTCTAGATAAACAGGTTTATTCTATTGCTGTTAGTTACATTAAATGATGCAGCCATCAGGAGACTGAAGAGCACTGCCAATAAGATAAAACCAAGGAAAACAACTGAATTTAGACAGTCTTTCAAAACTTGTTTGGGAAAATTGTTGACCGAAAGAAAATCCTATTGTGTTTGATCTGAAGAGGAATAGGGCCTCTGAAAAAATAAAGTTAACAGGTTTTTAAATATTGTTTTAGGTTAATATGGGAAAAAAGTCGGAATTCGGACTTTTCTCAGAATTCTGACTTTAATCTCAGAATTCTGACTTTTTTCTCAGAATTCTGACTTTTTTTCTCAGAATTCTGACAGCTAACAAACATTTTAGCATCAAGCTGTGGCCATGTCTGTTTTAGAGACTAGCTCTCTTGTTTTAATGACCTTCTGCTCCTCCTTTAATGAGGGGACCCCTCGGGCACCACATCTCTTCCTTCACGGTGCCCATCTACATTACAGTTTTTCTGGATTGTTTACAGACATTTCTGAAAACATGCCTCGTATTCTCAGAACTCTACACACAAATCCAACAAACACACACACAATGGGCAAAACCCTTCAATTCTCCTGCAAAATGAAACTTTACATTCAAAACAGTTTTATCTCTTCACAAAAGGCCATTTTGTGTTCAGATGACACACACAAACTATCATATGAACAGACAATTAAAAAAAGCATTTAAACACTGATGTGCTCAGTGTAAAACACCATTCTCTATTCATCATAATGACTTTTTGTTCAGTGTTACACTTACTACAGACATTAAATACATAAGTGCGTTGTAAAATATTTTAGAATATTGTTTTTATACTCAGAACACACAAATATACTGTAACAAACATGTTTTATTTTTCCCACAAAACAATGTACACAGTGTACATCCCAACTGACACAAAGTTGCACATACAGTGCAGAAGATTTTACTGTATACAGTTACAGTAATAATAAAAAAACAAAACAAAATAAACTATGCTGCATCCTCTCTTCTGTTTCGGTCTGGCCACAGCACCTCATCTACATCACAAGCAATGTTTTCCCTGGCCAAGCAGCGGGGGAAATATCGCCTAGCATGGCGAATCCAGCCATGAAAAGCATCAACTGCTATATCTCCACATGCGTCTTCCATAGCTTGGAAAAGGGGTATACGCGTTTCTGAATTTAGGTCGTACACTTTCCATCTCCAGGCAGAAAAAAATTCCTCAATAGGATTGAGGAATGGAGAATATGGAGGGAGATAAACAACTGAAAAGCGTGGGTGGTCAGTGAACCAGTTATGAACCAGAGCAGCCCGGTGGAAGCTTACGTTGTCCCAAATGACAACGTACCTGAGCTGCTCTGGGCCGTCTATCTGATCTGGTGGAATGAGTGTGTTGTGTAGGGTGTCCAGGAATGTGATCAGATGGGCAGTGTTGTAGGGGCCAAGGGTAGCATGGTGATGGATGATGCCATGGTCGGTCATCGCTGCACACATTGTGATGTTCCCTCCGCGCTGGCCAGGGACTTCAACAATTGCACGCTGGCCGATTATATTCCTTCCCCTCCTTCGTCTTTTTGTGAGGTTGAATCCAACCTCATCAATGAAGAAGAACTGGTGCTCCACTGCATCCACCTCCAGCTCAAGGACTCTCTGAAACACACATGACAATATCAGAAGTAAACATGGAGCGGTCTCTATTGTGAAGCACAATCATTATGATTACAATATAATAGAAAGAAATATGTATGATTTATACAATGTTGACAGTATGCATCAGAGGTGGGAATGTACTGTATAGGACATACTTGCACATAGTTATATCGCAATTCTTTGACCCTTTCTGAATTGCGCTCAAATGGCACCCTGTAGACCTGCTTCATCCTCAGTTTATTTCTGTGCAAGACACGGTCCAGCGTTGATAAACTTACCCTATCAATATTTTGAAATATCTCATTGTTTTCTATTATTTTTCTTTGTATTTGCCGTAAGGTAATGGCATTATTTTCAAGAACCATGTTCATGATCTCTGTTTCCTGTTCAGGAGACAGAAGACGGCCCCGTCCACCTCTTGTTGGTAATCTTTCAGTTCTGCAATACAAAGAGTGCAATACTGTAAATACTGTGTAGGAATACATTTCCCAAATACTCGAAACACAATGTCCTACAGAACAGTCCACAGGTAATACTGTACTACTGTACTCATTGAGTACTGTATTGATATGCAGTACTGCAGTTTTGTAGTGAGAGTAGATTTCTTACCTATTCTCATTGCGGAAAGTCCGGATGATGGATGCTACAGTGTACCTGCTCAAATTTGGCTGTACTCTTTGCCCAGCCTCCCTCATTGTTAGGCCGTGGTTGACCACATGGTCAACCAAAGTTGCTCGGATCTCATCAGAAATGATTGTCCTTGGCCTTCCTCGTCCTCCCCATCGTCCTCCTCTTACTCTCACTCCTCTGGCTCTGGCTCTGGCTCTGCCTCTGTTTACAACATTGGCCTCCATTGCTCCAAAACAGAAGAGCTCACCTGTTGCCCTTCTATGCTAAAGCTCTGATTGCTGAGTGGAAACATGTGTGTTAGGTGTTTGCCCATGTGAGGAGTCAGTGTGCATAGTAGGGAAATTAACTTTAGAGTTTTGAATAACAGTGTGTTCCTTGTGAAAACAAAAGATTTTCTTCATGACAATTGTGTGTAGAGTTTTGGAAAAAGTGTGTTTTAGAACTGCAATTTGAGTGTAAAGCAGGAATTGTGCTTGTAGTTTAGCAGAATTGGTTCAGGGGGTTGGTGCATGAGTTACATTTTGTGGTCATTGTGTTTCAAGTACCAATATTTGTGTGTAAACAATCGAGAAAAACTGTAAGATCCAAAATTGAAATGAGATTAAAGTCAGAATTCTGAGAAAAAAGTCAGAATTCTGAGATTAAAGTCAGAATTCTGAGAAAAAAGTCAGAATTCTGAGATTAAAGTCAGAAATCTGAGAAAAAAGTCAGAATTCTGACTTTTTCCCATATTAAACTGAAATAAAATTTGAAAATCAGTTAACTTTTTTATTTTTAGTGGCCCTAATCCTCTTCCGTACTCAAGAGATAATTCCAAAAAGTAAAAAAAAAACAAACAATCCACTTGCTACGTTCACCCTGCAGGCCTTGATGCTATATTCCGATTTGTTTGTGAAATCCGATTTTTTTGCGTTGCCGTTCACATTTCCAAATATATGCAACTTGTATGTGATCTCCTGTGTGAGCTGCAGTCATACAAGGCAAGTGTTCTGCATGCACAGTAGAGGACGCAGTGACGTCTCAGGCCAGCGTGCTCTATGTTTATGGAAATAAACATGGATGGTAGCGCCCAACCATAAACACACAATCTTTTCAAGATGGTTAAACAAAAATACTGCTCTTCGCATCATCGTCCACCATGGTTGTTGTTTTTCTTGCTGCTTCTTCATAGCAAGACCCAGAATAGTGACCTTTGTCGGGTATTATTGGCGTTCAAGTCCACTCCCTCTGTCTAAGGTTGGTTCTTCTTTCTTAACATAGATGGCTTCCTTCACTCCCATTTAAACCACCTGTCTTCTTTGTCCAAAATGTGAATATTCTGCTCCTCATAAGAATGTTCTTCTCCAGCAGAGTCTTGTCCAGAGGAGGGCGCTTTTCCGTGTTGGGCCATGCATCTGTGGAGAGGTTGTTTGGTTTCTCCAATATAAAGATCAGAGCATTCCTTGCTGCTTATCTTAGGTCTGGGAGTTTTGTCTTTATGATGCACTAGTCTCTTAACCTGACTCCGCCAGATGGATTTGCTCCTCATATCCATCTGGAAACCTTCCGTTGAAGTAATTTTGGGAAGGGGCGAAAACACTGGTTAGCTGATTGGCCTATGTTGGTGATAGACGGGCCAAATAAACCAATCAGATCAACGAAGCATATGACGTACTAACAGAGCGACGACGAAAACACAACCACCAGCCAGGCTACTCTTGCCGAAACAAGTCGGGAGAAGAGCAAAAACATCTTTTCCTCTGAGAAAAGCCTCCAGAGCAGTGTTTTGCTCTTCTTTCAGTGAAGAAATACTCTGTAATTCCAATAAAACTTGCTCGATAGCCACGCTAACGCTAGTTTCATCGGCTGAAGCCGCCATGTTCTTTAGACTGAACTGTCGCGCTTCTCGTTGCCTCACACCTCAACACGCCTCAAAGCCAACGCTGATTGGACGTTCGTTTGGTGAACGGCTCCAAATTTTCTTTAACGGAAAGTAGCCAGACTGATCTGCGAGTGAAACCTTGAAAGCTCGCGAGATCAGGATGGTCTCACGAGGCTACTAGTCTCTGTCTAAGGGTCTTGTTTGGTTTGAAATATTCTGGGATTTTGTGTTTTGAGAAAATCCTATTGAGTTTTTTAGAGATTCCAGCAACATATGGGATGTTTTTTCTTAATAATAAAAATGGTTAGTTAGCTGTATGAAGTCCACTATATAGTCCCTGCTCTATATAGTGATTGAGGGATTTATTTTTTCAACATAGCGTGCACTAAGGAGAAATGGACTCTCACACGTACGGATTGGGCGTTTTTTTTTTAAAGACTTTGCAAAGCTTTTTTCTAATCAAAATGTCAGAAATAGCGTTGATTTCTAAGCTTTATAGGGTAGCCCAACGCAGCCTTGGTATGGCTTAGATAACTTCCAAACTGAACCGGGAGAAACGGTCCAACCATTTGGAACGGGAGTCGTTAAAGCTGCAGTCTGTAACATTGAGAAGAGAGCAGACTTCGACTGAAAATTTGAAGAAAAACAGGTTTCACGCCACTCCCCCACCCTCTCTGCTTCACTCATGCCCCACCCCTCTCACAGCATCTGCCCGGCTACCGCATGCGACCAGAAGCGTCCAAGCAGCGTACGCGGCATGGAGTGTGAACCGGTAAGAGCGATAACACTCACCTCCAAGCAGCTAGATATAAGATGCTGGTTATACCGAAGTTTGCCGTGTAAGCAGTTGTCGGCAGGGGCAGTAAGGGCAGTTTCTCTTTCGCTGGTGGCTGTCGCTCCGCCATGACTTCCACGCGCGTCCTCCTGACTGCGGCAGCCGGGCGCTGCGGCAGGTTAAGGGGGGGCATTCAGCGTGTGTGAGCTGTGATTGACACTTCATCAGACGCTCCTCTGGCTGTGATTGGTTGTTTTCACTCGTCCCGAATTATTCTTTCCAGATTGAAATACAGGCAGTATGGGGGACCAATTGCAGCAGTTTTTTTCACAGGTTACATATCACATGTACTGCTGTCTGGGCATAGGGACAGTTTTAGCCAATATGACAAAAAAGTGATTTTTAAAAACTTACAGACTTCAGCTTTAAGGTCTTTGTTAGCCTGCAATACCCGAATTGAATTTAAAAAGCTTCCTGGATGGGAAGCGAAACGTCTTGGAAACAAAGTCCAGTGAATTTTTTTTTTGGAATGACTATGACCTGGATGACTGAGAATCTTCACCACTATTTTACACTATGATCTTGATTTTCTGGTATATTTTGTGGTATGTTTGTTTTGCGTTCCATTCTTTGTTTATTTGGAATGATTTTTATCAGACGTCTGCTGGATTTTTATTTTCACCCCTTAGCTTAGCTCAGTACTTTTCTCTCATTTTATTGATGAGCAGTCCCTGGGTTGTGCCTCTGACTTTGACAAATGACCCTATCTTTACCACTTTAATGTTATTTATGAAGTAGACATGAAGCAAAACTAGAGAAAAAGTTTGTACAAACACCTATGAATAAAAGATGGAGAATATAAAGCCATACATTTGTAGATAATCTTAAGACTTTATGATTTGTGATGTTTTTTGCTCTGCCCACGTCACTTCCAAACTTGATGTGGAACTGATGTGATGTGGAAGAGGAAAAACTGTAAGTATGAAACAAAAAGTCCGCTCATATATAGAATTAAAACTTCTGGAAGTTCTTTAAATCTGAAATTATTCCATCCTGTTCAATAAATTATCAGTGTTTTTAATTCAGAGTAATTTTCATGTGAATGTGCTTTACTGGAGGCATCCATGTTTGTCAAAGAACACTACTGCCACCTACTGGTTTGTGACGTCACGGTGCGGTATCGGCTGTTGATCAAGTCCCAGTGCTGTATCTGGTGTTTGTCACAACGCGCTATTATCCAAGTCATCTTGAAAACATTCTTCTTCCAAATGTTGGCTACATATTACGTGTTTTTTCTCTGGCCAGAAGTTCGATGGCAAATCCTCCCTCTTCAAGTTGGCGATCCAACGACCAACCCGTCCGTGGAGGATCAGGAATTAGAAAGGTGGAATAACTCTTTTTTTTTCCACTTTTACCCGATGTATTCCAGCATCCAGCTGCCATGCACGTGGGCATTGTCAGTTTCACTATAGCTCTGGTGAATTTCAATGGTGAAGTCCTCTGGAAATCTTCAATAATTGTTGTTGATTGCAGATGTGTCTAGTAGTTCCCATTGATTTAGCTTGGAAAGCGGGGAGAATGGCGCTAGGCTTACCGCACCGTGACGTCACTGCTGGAAGATGTCGGGAGGGAGGGGCTACTATATTTGGGCAAAAATGGCAGCTCCCAGACTCAGTGATTGAAATGAAAATTATTATTTTTATTTTTTACTAATTAACGCTAAATTAATCAAATCATTGCAAACGTATTTGCTTTAGGTATTGATAATGATCCCTTGATCATTTCTTGCTGACTGAACTTTTTCTTGAAAGGTTTGTCTTAGATGGAAGTCGCCCAACTGATGAGATAATAAGGAAGAGAACAGAAGAAGATGTAGTAAACCTTGACCAAGCTTGAGATTTGGTACTAAATATGTTTAAGATTCTTTCTTTAAACTGTTGAGTTTTACTCAAGACAATCATTTATCTAAAGCGACTTACCAAATACAAATGGAACACGTGAAGAATGTGTTATTTATGTTTCCAAATCGGCTGCTCAGAAGGTTTCGGGTTTGATTCCCCAGCCTGTGGTTTTTCTGCATAGGGTTTGCATGTTCTCCCAGTGCATACGTGGGTTCTCTCCGGGTACTCTGGCTTCCTTCCACAGTCCAAAAACATTGCTGTTAGGATAACTGGCTTCTCCAAATTCTCCTTAGGTGTGAGTGTGTGTGAGTCTCCGGCTGGGATGAAATGTGACAGAAAATGGATGGATGGATGTTTCAAATTAAAGCTGCAACACATGATAAAAAAAATTACACTGCCAGATTAGCATATTAAAAAAAAAACATTTTTGCTTTAAATAGCAGTGCTAAAAGTGAAAACATTAAAATCATAGAAATAAGTAATCTAGAAATAAGTAAAGTTGCGTAACATTTCAAATTTAGAATCTTTAAAAAATATCAGAAGGGATAAATGTCTTTATAATGCTAACAGTCTCTGTTCTCTCATTGTCTGTGTGGTCTGCCCAAAGTTGTGAAAATAGCAGAAGCATTAAACGTGTTTATGTGCTGCTACTGTGTTCTATTCAGATGCTTTTAAAATGTCTGGTGT